TCAGCATTCTGGAGAAATGGGGGGAGACCTATATGGGGCTTATCAGGTTTAGGGGTCAGCAAACTGAGAACTGGTAAGGTTCTACCATTATTACTGCTGTTGTCATTAGTACTGTCATTACAATTATGATCTGCTAAGAACCTTTTAACAGGAAGTGGCACAATTCTAATACATTTGGCCAAATTCATTCCTGGTGTAACACCATTGACTCCAGTAGAATTACAACAGGGATGAATTTGACTCAGTAAGTCTCAGAAATTCAGTATTCATTTGCCATAAACCACATAGGATGTTACTTACATTCAAACACTTCACTTTGGCCCAAATTTTGCAGCCTTCTCCCTCTGTGGGTTCATTTGCTCACATGAGGAAAATCTCTATCTCATGTTCACCAGCATGACTAAGTGTTGTACAATCGGGTTGTTATGGTCTCCAATTTCCATTTTATATATTCTCCTCACTTAATTTATGATATTTCACTGATTCAGTATGTCTTTGCACTAACTCCTTTGTAGTGAGTCAATTTCATGTTGGAATTACTGGCACAAATTTATTTCTGGAGTAACTCCTTTGGAGTTTGTGGAATTACACCAAGGATGAATATGGCCTAGTGTTTTAGTTGTCATTGTTAACTGTTTGTATTACAGGAGCATCTAACAAAATTCAGTGAGTGATCAAATAATTATTGGAAACTTTTTGTCTTTTTCTAGGTTTAGTTGCAGTGCTCTCCTCGCAGAAGTAGTGTTTGGTTTGTAGGCAGTGTAGTTAGCTGATTGTATGCATCTCTTTGCAATCACTAACTTTACTGCCATCAAAACAAGACACACAATTCCCTGCTACAGCCTGGGCACAGAGAACAGCATGTCTGACAAGCTGCTGATGTCTAACTCACAGAATAAATCATCACATCTTTCATTTACAACTTCATTTTCAGAAATGTCAGCTGTTCAACAAACAATGCATTGTTGAAGAAGTTAGGTGAAATCTTAGCCCCATTGAAGTCAGTGGCAAAACTCCCATTGACTCCAGTGGACTCAGGATTTCACCTGTTGTGTTTCATTTGGCTTTTTGAAAACACCTCATACATTCAATTCTTTATGTAAAAGATTTGACCAACAAGCATTTTAGGGGCAAAGAAAACAGGCCAAAGAATTCAAGTCCAGTTCATTTGACTTTAAAAATTCTCTTAAAGATATGAACATGTATGTATCAATTCTTATTTAACAAACTAAAAACATGTAGATACTTCTAAAAATGCTTAGAGATCATATGCCGTATTATGCTGTAAATACATCTTCACCATGTTAGCATATGTCACCCTCTCCACTTTGGTGAACTTCTAAGAATTAATTATAAAGAAATATCAATTCAACTTAATAGTACAAGAGTCTGCCATATTTCAGTGGCAAGACCTGCTCTTAGTAAAATCAGATGTTGGAAATGAACTGTCTTGTACATTAGCCTAGTTACTAGGCAGTGTAGTTAGCTGATTGCTAAAGGTAACAATCACTAACCACACAGCCAGGTAAAAAGGTATGTAATGCATCTTGTTGGAAGTCTGGAATACTGAAGTGTTTCCACAACACAAAAGGCATTTAGCCTGGCTCCTTTGTAGAGGCGCACAGTGCAGAGACAAAGCAGAGCAAATGAAACATAATGGATTCCCCATACACATGCAAGTGACATCAATCTAACTGTCAGCTCAATATTGTATAGCTGTTAAGCTGGAATAAAGCTGCATATTAAAATGTTTCATACCCTTGGATGCATCAAGAAAATGCAAAACAGAATCTGAAGAGATCTTTTTATTTTGTAATTTGCAAACATAGGGTCTGATTCTGATTCATAGATTCCAAGGCCAGGAGGGACCACTGTGATCTTCTAGTCTTACCTCCTGTATACCACAGGCCATAGAACTGCCCTAAAATAATTCCTAGAGCAGATCTTTTCAAATCTTACTGACACCAACCTTACACCTGTCTAACCCCACTGACTTAAGTGGAGTTACTCACCATCTACACCCATTTAAGTGAAATCAGAATCAAGCTTGTAATTGTTTCAGGACAATCACCTCCCTCTTCACTTTCCCCAATGGAGGAACTTTACATGGAAGTTCCTCCATAGCAAAACCTGAAGCCTTACCATGGGCCTGATCCTATGAAGTGGTGAGCTTCTCTGGAAGGTGATAAAACACCCTCAACTTCTATAATCTTCATTAGAAGTTCTGCTCAGCACCTTGCAGAATGGGGTCCCATGGGAACAGGGCATGGGATTTGCCTGTGTCCATAGAACCTATGTACCTACAACTCAGTGTGGAGTTGCGAGCTTGAGTCTCATTGTTCATAGAGACAAGGTAGGTGAGGTAATATTTTTCATGTGAACCATCTTTGTCTTGTTTGTATATTTTTCCCTTGGTCTTTTCTGAAGTAGTGTATTAGATGTCCCTTTATTTTTGTTCCTCTGTTTATCTTGTCTACAGTTAATATATGCAACAAGTTGTAACAAACTGTAACTATCATATACAGAACAATATAATGAAGTTGTTAATTTATTTGAATGAGGGTCATATAAATCAAATTTTAAAAGGCAAGAAATAGCACTGTCACAAGGGGGCTGGCCCCTTTAAGTAAAGTGGATCCAGCATACCTGGGCCAGCACAGGTAGGTCCCATAGTGTCTCAGTTAAGAGAGTGGTGTGGCACTTGAGGCTAATAAATGAGTGGAAGACTGCTGTGAGAAAGGGGACCATCCCTGGAAGAAGATGGGAGGTTGGTTGGGGAAGGACAGCTACAGGAGGGGTATGAGTCCTAGAACAAGGGCCATGCTCTAGAGAAGCAGCCCCGGGGCCTGTGTTTGTGCAGAACGGAAAAGGAGAGCCAGAGCAGGGAGGCTGACAAGGGGTAGGGGTATGTCAGCACTGCAATACAAAACCCATAGCTGGCCTAGGTCGCTGACTCAGGTTTGGGCTCCAGGATTATAAAATTGCAGTGTAGAGTTTAGACTCAGGGCTGGAGCCCAGTCTCTGAGATCGCACAAGTGGGGAGAATCCCAAAACTGAGGCTGCAGCCTGAGCGTCTACACTGCAATTTTATAACCCCACAGCTTGAGCCTGACTCAGCTGACCTGGGCCAGACTGGGTCTTTTATTGCAGGGTAGCTATACCCTAGGAGACCAGCAGAGGGACTATCCTGATGGCCTTTCCAGGCAAAGGCTTGAAAGCCAGGAAGAAGCTGCAGAAAGACTGACTAGGGTGTATTTTCTGATAAAGACCAGGTGCGGACCAAAAGAAAGCCTGGGTGTGGCAGAACATGCCAGAGCTGGGATATGAGGTGTGCTGTTGGACTGTGGTTTGGCACTCTCATGGACTACATGCATTCTCTGTGGGATAAACTGACTGTGTTTGGGGCTTCCAAGGACTATGTGTGTTATGCGGAATAATAAACAAGCTATGGGAAGGGGTAATACTGGACACAAGAGACCACCTGGTGGAATCTTTAACGAGCCTGAGAGGGGAAGCTGAGGCAGTTACCCTGACATTGTTGTGCCCACCTGCAAGGAGGCACTGGGAGGGGAGGGAGAATTGTGGGAAGCAGAACAAATGTATCATGCTAAACATTTCAATCGCAACAAAACCTGTCCTCCACTATACAGCAATGGTGTTATTCCTGCATAGAACACTCTGGGCTACATCCTCCGGTCCTTACTGCAGCAAAACTCCTGTTGACTCCAAAGAGACTGTGCTTGGCTCTATTGCCACTTCAGAAAAACATCACACTTCATCTGAAAACTAGAATTCTGTGTAACCACAAAACATAATACAATTCTACTGTGCAGTAAGAGTGAGTGCTAGATTGGTGGGGAACTAGTTGTCTCATCATCTCATGGTATAGATCACCTCAGGGGAGTTTGCTGGTTTAAATCTGGCTCCTGGGTTGGTAGTAACTGAAAGCTACCAGCTGATGGTGCTATGGTGCCCTACTTGTGAGGTCTCAAGTTTTAATTCCAGCAGCAATATTCTAATTGGGCCACATCACATGTGACAAACACCTGCACTCCCATAATGTGTCCAGATCAGCAGTGCCCTCTGATGGATACTGTCCGTGCCAGATATGCTATGGGGTGCAATAATATCACCAACTGGCTACAAAACCCAGGGCAGCACTCCCTAGAAGAATAAACAGGGTTCTGGGTCAAGTACTGCACTGGGGGAGGTGGGCAAATCTGTGCTGGATTAATGCACAGATGCACTAGGCCCAGCCCTTAAAAATCAATTATTTAAAAACTAGATGAAAACCAGGCCCCAATTCACCAGTGGCCTGCCTATAGGGTACCCACGTGCAGCAGGGACAGGTGGGTGCGAAATGCTGCCTGGCTACCTTGGAAGCCTTTTGCTCTCACGGTGCGTCGGTGCAAATGAGAACACGAGGTGCAGGGTACCACGGGCCCCATGTTTTTAGACTAGAAATGTCTCTGACATCACCACTTTAATGTAAACTAATGTAGGAAACTGCACTGCCCGAATTCCTGCCCCTCAGCCGCCTGGACCCGAACATTCAGGGCTGCGGGCCTAGCCTGGCTCACCCAGATTTCCCGAGTTAGTCCTAAGCGTTGCTCGTGTTCTGGTCCAAGAGATGAATGGGGCTGAATTGTTTGGCAATAGCCACCACAATAAAATTAAATGTAACGTCTTTGCCAGGGCAGGGGTCACTCCAAAGCCCCCAGGGGCGTTTAATTTCCAAAAGGGGAGGTGCAGGAGCAGGCGGGGGCTAGTTACCTGGCAACGAGACGGATCAGTGCACACGCTGCCTGGAAACTCGTTAAACGGTCCATGGATGTTGGCCTTGGGCTGGGCAAGTAACTGTGAGGTGGGGGCAGCGACCCAGCCTGCTTCATCCCCGCACGGCCGGGCTGTAAGCCGAGTTCCCCGCGGGGGCTGGGCCGAGCGCGCAAACACCGACCCCACCCCCTCGGGCCAGGCCGCGGCGGCGGCTCCCGGGATCCATGGAGACGGCGCGGGGCTCCGCGGCCTCCCTCACGCCGGCCGGACTGCTGGTCTTCGCCGGCTCCGCCGAGCGCGACGTGGCCTTTGCCAAAGCCTTCTGGAACTCGGTGACCCTGCAGCCCCCGCTGGAGTCCCGCCTGGGCCCCGCGGGGCCGCGGCCTCGAGAGACCCGTGAGAGACCCCCCGCATTCCCCCTTCTCCCCCCAGACCTGGGGGGGGAGACATCCCCCATCGCACTCCCCCTAGCACGGGGGGGGGAGACACACACACCCCGCATTCCCCCTTCTCCCAGCACGGGGGGGGGGAGACACATCACCCCCCTGCACTCCCCCTTCTCCTCCCAGCGTTGGGGGGGAAACACCACTCCACTGCATTCTTCCTTTCTCCTTCCAGCACTGGGGGGGGAGACACCACTCCCCCGCATTCCCCTCTTCTCGCCCAGAATTGGTGTGTGTGTGTGATCCTCATGTCTTTCCCCTTGCCCCCTATCATGTAGGGGTGACCCCCATTCCTCCCCAGTAGTGGGGGGTGACTCCAGGTTATGACTGTTTATTTCCTGTCTCCTCAGGGCTGCCTTGAGAGCCCCCAGCCTCTGCTCCAAAAGACAGCTGTAATTTAGTTATGCCCTCCCACCCCCCATGTGCCCTACCTTTATCAGTGGGATGACCCTATTAAAAAACCCTCCTTTGCAGGTGTACCCCAAGAACCCAAATCCCCTCTCTCAGCCTGCATGTATGGGGTGTGTGTGATACGCTTTTGCTTCACAGTCACTGGAGAATCAAGGTGCTGGGCTCAGCCAAGGTTTAAACTAGTGTTTAATTGTATACAGATGAGCAGCCCCATTCAAGTCAATACTTGCATGATTAAGGTTAAGCATGGGTGTAGGTGTTTGCAGGATCAGGACCCTGCTTTGGTTACTGGAGAAGTTTGAAACACTAAGTCATGTTTTGGGGTGTTTTTGAAAAGTTGCTTATGGACAGATGCAAATTCCAGTGTGGACATTTGTGTTTTGGTTTAAGATGGGTGTATTTTGGTTTAGATAAACATGTTCCTGATTGCCTTGAGCTAAACTGAACTGAAATCATTGTCTGCATGGCCTTTTCCACTGCTTTAACTAAACTTGTTCAACATCACCCCTATACTTAAACCGTGTCATGCTGTGTGTCAACAAGGCTAAAGTGATATTTTATTTCTTCTTTATGTGGTTTTTGGTTTTTTAGAGAGAAATATTGCTTTCCAGATTCCACCAGGCAATAACAGTGAGTATAAAATAACAAGTGCTCTCGTGTTGCTAAACCCTTGACACATTGGGGGGTGGAGTTGTGTGTGTGTGTGGCTTTTGGGGTTTTTGTGGGGGTGGGAATTTAGCCAGGAAGTGTCTTTATAAGGGCTGAGTCACAGGACACTGCCCTCTCCCCCAATTAATGGCAAGAATAAGATGGTCCTGTGGTTAGAGTGCTATCCTAGGACTCCAGAGACCTGGGTTCAGTTTCCTACTCTGCCACAGACATCTTGTGTGACCTTGGGCAAGTCCCTTTATCTCACTGTGCCTTAGTTTCCCATCTGTAACCTGGGGATAATAACACTGCCCTACCTCACAAGGGTGTTGTGAGGATACTATGTTAAGGACCATGAGGTACTCAGGTAATGGGGGTCAGATATCTATCCCAGAAGTCTTACAAAGAGCCTGGTAGCCAGACATTATAGCCTGGTCCTGTGAACACCTTCACAATTTTATGAGTAATTGTGGTGAAAGCAATGGGGCTACTTGTGTGCTTAGAGGTAAGCCTATGCTTGTTTCAGGATGGTGGCCATAAGCCCCATTTCAACTGGGTAGTTGAGTACTCCCATTGATTTCAGGTTAGGCACATGCTTAAGTACCTGTCTGAATAGGGGCCTGCTCCAATTCCGTTTCCAAAACGTGAAACCAAAGGAAACTTAACCAGGCCTGTGAATTAGTTCACAGTTCTGCAATGATGCCTGTCATTTCTATTGTTACTGGCCATACTGCATTTCCGTAATGATGCTGTAACCATGACTGAGAACAAGTCAAGTCTCAGATTTCCATATCATGTGCCATTTATATAGGTCTTAGTGCTAGCTATTCTGAATCATTATTCAAAAGCTTGTCTAGCACTAATTTTCTATGTAGCCTTTGACTTGTTTATTTTATTTAGAGAGTGAACAGATAATCTTGGAAGCTCACAAAGCTCAGAAAGCTGAAGAAAAAGAAAAATATCTTCAGAAGGTAAGATCTACTGAATAAAAGATTCTGGGGTGTGCCTATTGCAAATTTTTAAAATTTTATATATGTATGTTGAAATACATGATTGTGCATAATACATAATGTGCAAGCAGAATAAAGTCTAGGCTGGTTATTTATTTTTATATATCTACACACACACACTCACTGCTTTAATAGGGCCAATTTACAAACCTGAAAACAATTATGAGCCAAATAAGCTGAGAGTCTCTGAGTACCTTTCCCCAACCTGAAGAAGAGCTCTGTGTAGCTCAAAAGCTTGTCTCTTTAGTCAACAGAAGCTGCCAAGCTGGTCCTCACCCACCTTGTCTCTCTAATCTGAGTATAAGATGAGAAAATGGGTGGCTACAGTCAAACAGATGGGAGAGTTCAAGGAAACCATGAGACAATATTGGTCAGTGTCATAGGCAGTGGTCTTAAAGTAGAGCAAGTGCAGAGGTGTTTGCATGTTCAGAGCCTTAAGGCATGTCTACGCTGTCCTGCAGTTCACACTGGGTGTGTGTAAATAGCAATGCACACCAGTGTGCTGTGCTGCAACTCCCTCATGTGGATGCTGCAGGTGTGAATATAAAAGTCCCAAGTTCGCACTAATGGCAGGACTACGTTAGTGCAAACTCAGGACCTTTAAGTCTGTGCCTTCAGCATCCACACGAGGGAGTTACAGCACAGTGCTTTGGTGTGCACTGCTGTTTGCTCCCCCTAAGTCTGAGGCTATGTCTTCACTACGGGGGGGGGTCGATTTAAGATACGCAAATTCAGCTACGCGAATAGCGTAGCTGAATTCGACGTATCGCAGCCGACTTACCCCGCTGTGAGGACGGCGGCAAAATCGACCTCCGCAGCTTCCCATCGACGACTCTTACTCCCACCTTCGCTGGTGGAGTAAAAGCGTCGATTCGGGGATCGATTGTCACGTCCTGACGGGACGCGATAAATCGATCCCCGAGAGGTCGATTTCTACCTGCCGATTCAGGCGGGTAGTGTAGACCTAGCCTGACCTGCAGTACAGTGTAGCCTTGCCCTTAGTGTCTTGTATCTACAAGAAGACTCTTGTTGGAGAAACAGCTTTAAGCAACTTGGGTAATAAACTGCAGTGGAATGTTCTGATGATTTCCCAAAATGGTTGTTCTTCAGTTAGTTCCGATAGGCTAAGTAAGGCACGCTCATCACTAGGGCCAGTGGGGATCTGTGTTAAATCCCCAGGCAGTGGTCGTAGCACTCCAGTTACTAGCTAGCATCACATCAGCCTACAGTTAACTTCTAGACCAGAGGGAAAACACAAAGACACTTTTAGTGACAATGTAGGACTTATCACCTCTGCTCTGATAAAAGCTTGAGGTGAAAGATAGGTGAAGCAATTGTGTTCATCCCAACCAAACTAATTTCATGTGTGCATGAGGATGGAGTACTGCGGAAAAGGATCGGGGGTGGGGGGTCATAGTGGATCACAAGCTAAATGAGTCAACAGTGTAAAACTGAAGAAGAGGAAGAAGAAGCAGCAGCAGCAGTGGCGCAAACCTAGTTCTGGGATATATTAGCAGGAGTGTTGTAAGCAAGACACTAGAAGTAACTTTTCTGCTCTACTCTGCGCTGATTAGGCCCAACTAGAGTATTGTGTCCAGTTCTGGGTGCCACATTTCAGGAAAGATGTGGGCCAACTGGAGAAAGTCCAGAGAAGAGCAACAAAAAATGATTAAAGGTCTAGAAAACATGAGCTATGAGAGAAGATTTAAAAAATGGGGTTTGTTTAGTCTGGAGAAGAGAAGACTGAGGGGGTACGTGATAACAGTTTTCAAGTACAGAAAGGGTTGTTAGAAGGAGGAGGGAGGAAAAAATTGTTCTCATTAACCTCTAAGGATAGGACAAGAGGCAATGGGCTTAAATTGCATCAAGGGTGGTTTAGGTTGACATTAGGAAAAACTTCCTGTCAGGTTAGTTAAGCATTGGAATAAGTTGCCTAAGGAGGTTATGGAATCTCAGTCATTGGAGATTTTTAAGAGCAGGTTGGACAGACACATGTCAGGAATAGTCTAGATAATGGTCCTGCATTGAGTGCAGGGGACTGGACTAGAAGACCTCTCAAGGTCCCTTCCAGTCCTATGATTGTATGAAAGAAACCCCATGGCATCCTGAAGAGCAGTTTCTCTTCCTGTATATGTTGGGACATAGTGTTGCACAGTTACATTAGATAGATATGGTTTGAGGTCCATTTGGAGCCATAAAACAAATCTGCTTTTTAGTAGTGCCTCTTTCGAAGGCTTTTTATCAGGTTATCCCTTTAACGAAGGAATTGGGATAATGAAATTGCATTTTAAATCTGGAGGACAGCTAGTACTTTTATTAAAAACATAAAATTGAAAATAATGAAGGAACTCTAAACAGCAGAAAGTGTGAGTTGCTGTTTATCTGATTGAAAAAGCAGCTAATTATCTTGCTACAGCAAAACCATAATTTCAATAAGGACTTACTGAGTTTTTTGTAATATTAACATCAAACATTTAAATCCTTGTGGCTGAAGTTGACTTAAGAAAAAAGCATAAATTGCAAAGTTGGAGTGCATTTATACATTTATTAATATAATTTATGAAAACTGTTATAAGTTTGCTTTAACATTCCGCTTGTATTTTTTTAAAGAAAATTTTGTTCATTTGACCAAAGTTACTCACATATTTGTTTGCAGGGTTGGGGCCATTAATCACTCTCTCAGAACTGCAAGAATAAATATGAAAGACTGTAATGGTTTCTCATGCAATGTGCATCTACAGACTGCATTCACTATTGAAATTTTTGAACCAAAACTTTTATTGGCCAAAAAAAAAAAAAAAAAGTGCAGATTCAGGTTATCTGAAACATTTTTGCGAATTTGTGTTGAATTTGCCAGATGGCTTGTTTGTTTTTCAGCTTTTAAAAAAAAAAAATTAGAAAAAAGTCACATCTGTCTTGATTTTGTTCTATTCTTCCAAACAACTTTTTGTTTTGAAATTTCCTTCCATTTAATTTTAAAAATGGAAAACTTAAAAATGAGGTCAAAATCTAAACCAAATGTTTCATTCAATCCAAAACCAAGGTTTTTGACTCTTAAGTTTGCTAACAATTTCAGAAATATTAATTTTTGGATGGATCTGATTTTCCCCTTTCCCTCCCCCCCATCACACACACACACGCTTTGGAATTGCCAGGAAACATTTGCACAGCTCTAATGCAGACCCCTCTTTGTTTGATGAATTTTGACTCTCAGACCATAATGGCTCCTTTGATTGTATTGTCCCATCAGGTAGGAGGTTTTGAGACATGCTGTGTGCTGTTCATGTGCTGACGTACATGTGTATGGTTAAAACTCCTTAATAAAGGAAAGAAGCTAATGTGCATTTCAATTTTTTATTTCGTATTCTGGACTAATTTCATGACAAACAAAGTCTATTTGGTGATTGTTTTAAATGACAAAAGTAACATTTTGAAGAATTGGATATAAGTTTTGTAGCTTTTTTTTTTTTAAATTTAAAAAAACACTTCATCCATGAGACTGTTCAATAATAGAATTTATTGTTGTTTAAAAGATCATATATTTAGAAAAAAGCTTGTTTGGCTGATTGTGAGCTCCTTGGAGCATGGACTGTTTTTTATTGTGTGTTTGTACAGCACCCAGCACAATGGGGCCCTGTTTGCATTCAGGCCCTTTAGGTCCTAAATGGAATACAAATAATTATGATGCTTAAAATCTTCAATTTTTTTAATCAGTTCAAATAACCTTTTCTGAATTTAGGAAGACACTAGGATTTACACAATTCAGTCTTGTTAGCTCACCTACTGTACTTGAAAAGTATCCAGACACCTGTCACGCTTCTCTCTCTCTCTCTCACACGCATACACAATTAGCATATAATGACTGACACCCCGTTGTACTTTTGCTTTCTAGATACTGAAGTATTCAATAGAAGTAAACTTTTGTTTGCATTTACCAACAATACAGATGGTAAATTACTACTGCATATGTTCACTATGGATCCAATTAATCAGAATCTAGCTCAAAAGCAAATAACATTCAATATTATGATAAGGTTGCTAGCCTTACTCTGTAATTACAGTATATTTTCCTTATTTTAGTAAAATGTTTGGGGTGGGTTTTTTGGAAAAGCTTATACGTTAGGCCTGGGAAGCAGGCCAGATTTAAGCAATCAGCAGTAGGTGTGTAAAGGTGCTGAGGTCTGCAGCTCTTCCTTGCAACTCAGCAATCCTCCTCTTTCCAGTTAATAACTCTGTAATGCATTTAATCTATTAGCATGCGTTAGGCTTACCTTTTGGAAATTGGATTAACAGGGCAGGAGTCCTTTTCAGTGAATATTCAGTTGATTTTCTAAAAATTCTGCAACTAGATTAAATCAAGGTTGTGCAGCTTTGCACATCCTACAGTTGTAGGTGCAGTTGAGAAATGTTAATGAGCAAATTATACAACCGCAAGACAGAGTACAAGCCTCCAGTAAATCCAGGGATATGATAGTTAATGCATTGAACAGAATAAGACTACCATTTAAATTATTAGACAGAGGTAAATTTTTCTATTAAATCCACCTGGTAGCTCTTGAGTTGGATGTAATGTTCTTTCTGTGTGGGGAGGCGTCCCATTGGAAGAATAAAATATAGAAGGTGAGATCTGCTATGCAGATCTGAGAAGATAATTTTCCCCTAAGTAAGGTATAATGTAAGAATTTTCAAAAAAGCATCAAGTCAAGATATAACTATTACACTGTAATTTCACAAACTCACAGTGAAATGCATTCATTGAGAAAGGTTGTTTTAATTAGCCAGTTAATTTTAATGAAACTGGAGTAATGTGTACAGAAACATAGCTGGTATCTTTTTTTTTTTTTTTTTTTTTAAATTTATTCCTTGCACTGGACTAGTATGTAATTCATTTATTCCTACAGTGTTTGTAGATTATTACCCAATTACCTAAGAAATTACAAGCACTGCAGGTCCAAGGGAGTCAATCTAAGTGTGCCTAACATCAGGTAACCTAGCCTGTCTGAATATATTCAGACATATTGATATGCAATGCTTTTTAGTCACTTTTTGGTCACTTCCTCTCCTTCAATATTGGTCTCAGACTGCTGTCTTCCACCTCATCTCTGAGTTAGTGCTGAAGGTCTGCATATTACCATTGCATACTTTGATAGTGCTGTAGATCACATCAGTAATTTATTCACCTAGAGTACAGAGCAGCATGGCTAGTTAACACATTGAAGGTCACTTGAGGGACTGGAAGAGACTTTCACAAGGTGGAGTTAATGAAGTGTCGGGATGCTGCCCTCCTTCCAGGTGGCATTATTGATTGGTTTGGTAGTCAAACCTAGGCCTGGTTGTGACAAGGTACAGAGGCCCAGCACATAATGGGATTACAAGGAGAGCCAAGGTTCCCTAGTTATCACGTGGATCATCTGGATTACTAAAGCAAAGGAGAAGCTGCAGCAACCTGGGGGAAAGGGTTTGCCCTTTCCCCAGTTTTCTGTAAAGGCTGGGGCAGCCACCACTCACCTTCTTTTCTTTTATCTCTTTCCCCCCCCCCCCATCTTCCATGTGATAACTCAGAACTGAGCTCTCCGTGTAACCTGTACACACTGGGCCGTTGTGCCTTCTCCCAGCATGTTCAGGTTTGACTGCCAGACTTCAACAGAGTTGGTTTACTCTTGTTTTTAATATTCTGTGTGTTCATAAAGCCACCCCTGGAGAAAGCGAATTGAACTCAACTAGCAGCTGGGGTTTTCTTTCACCTTCCCTGGCTGATGTATATCAATACAATCCCTTTTTTGTATGCTGAGGTATAGATTTGTCCCTCTTTTTTACAGCCTCACATATTTTGCTTTCCTTTCTAGTAAAGGAAAATAAATAGTAAAATGTAAGTTCAGACTCCAGAATAATGTCTAGGTGTTATATTGGGGCATCCATACCCCAAAATGGACTAGTTCTAGTCTTGGATCTCTTCCTACCTGCTGTATTTTTAAAAAGAACTGTTGTATAAATCAATGGTAACATTTTTGGCTAGGTTTAAAGTTGGTTAAAATTTGAAGTGATTTGTTGAACAAGTGACTCTTTTTAAGGGCTGAAAATTACATAAGCAGAAAGCTCAAATTCTGCAGAGGAAATTGTGGTCAGACAAAAGAATCCGAGCTGGCTTCAGGAGTTTTCTTTCGGTAGCTGGGTATTAATATACTGGCAGAGGCTATTGCTCTGTTTTCATTGCAGTTACCCCTGGCTTTTACTTGGGTGTTGCTCCCTAACCCCTACTGGCCATAGAAAACAACCCTTTTGCCCAAGTTTAGAGGTGCTTTTAAACCCAAGCTAGTTGGCCCGGGTGGGGCTGTGGATTAAAACCCAGATGCTACTCTCACTTGGGCTGGTAACCCACCGACTTGGCAGTGGGGACGCAGACTAAAGCACTCTTGTGCTGATAGTCCTTCAGTGCTTTCCCACAATTTCCCCCGTGTGCCCAGAAGGACAGACAAGTTCTACCACATCTAACTGGGAAAAATCCGAGTGGCTCGGCTCACTGCAGCAAAAGAGCCATAGATACGCCCCCCCAGAAGTCATAGTGATAGGCACAGGGGAGCACAGCACCAGTAACTTGGGTAGGGCTTTGCAGTGTGGCTGCTCATGCCTGGGTGATCGGCCCCTGGGTTACCTTTGCAGTGAAGATGTACCCTAAATGATTCTTTAAGGAATGTTGAGCATCCTCTTCCCTCTCTTGGCAGGAATCCCTTGTCTCCTTTTACTTCCCTGTGATAGGTGCTAACATATTCTTGTGTTTAAACCCTAAATCAGTATTGAGCATCTTGGTTTTGCTGGTTAAACATTTCCAGTGCTGCTTATTCCTCTTTCTCCTTACCCTGCTCCAATAGCTAGATCTTCTACTTCGTTTTTTTTCCTGAAAAATCCCTTGCTCTGTCTCGCATTAGCTGCTTGGGTAACAGAGAGCAGATTTCTGATTCATTGTGCTTTTACTAGTGATTAGACACAGTACAGGAAATGTTGGTCTGTTTAATATTCAGATACTTACAATTCCCTGTGAGTCTCAGCTCTGGTATTGAAAGAAACGGGGAATGACGTGGGCACTGAATAAAGAGGTTTTCAAATCAGATTTTACTTCCTTAGTTTTGTACACATTAGGTTTTAACCCAAAAGGAGTTATGAAGTGAGAACTCTTTGGTGTTAGTCACATTCTGTAATTTGTTCTTCTCTGGCATTGGTGTTGGAGATTTCCCAGAATACTTATTGGAATGTCTGTTTCATAACAAATTGCTAGGAATGTTTCAGCAGTGTTTAAGATGCCTTTTACCCAGCTTAAACAATTCCTACTCTTCTCTCTCTTCCTCTCCCTCCCCTCCCCCCCGCCACCTCTGTAGCTTGAAAGTCTGTTCTTCATTTCCAGCAAGCAAAAGTCCAATAGCATTTGATTACTGCATGTTAGAAGTATTTTGATTTATGTGGGTGCCTGGAAACCCAAGTATTAAACTGGTCTGAGTAGAAATTGTTGCACTGTTCATCATGAAATCGTTCTATTTCTGCAGCTGGTATTTTAGAGAAAGAATGGTTTTAACAAGTTCTGGGACATGAACTTATCTTTTTACAGTTCTGAAGAACCAAGACTGTTAATGCAAAATAAGCAAAAAGTATTGCATGTTTCACTATTCTGGATGAAATCATGGGCCCATGGAAATCACTGGGAGATTTACCTTGACATCAGTGGAGCCAGGATTTCACCCTTTGACTTTTTAAAACATTTCCATGGAGTGGGAGAGAATTGCTTGCACCAAAGAAGTATTGTGACAATAAAAGATGTCTTCTGCCTTGGATGTGATCTTTTCACATCTTTCAAGCTAAACAAGTTTGATATGGGTTATTTTGGATGGGAGACCGAAATAATCCTTATTTTGCTGTCTTGAAGAGACACGGGGAGTATTGTTTGCTAACTTTTGTTTGTAAATGTGTTTACTTCACCACTTGGAGTGGTTCATCCTGGATCAAGACACAGATGGCCTTCTTCAGATATCCCTACATCATTCTAGGAACAGAAAACTCAGTATTTTAAGATCAGACTTTCTGGATCATGGAAAAATACTGTGAAATAACTGCTTAATTGACAAAGTATCTCCTAATGTACTTGTTACATATTTATTCTAGCTTTCTGCTCCATTAAGAAATCAAATGTTTATTGTGAAGCTGTAAGATGTAGATGGGTATAAATTAATTTCTCTGGACTTAAAATGGTAAATATGTTTTCTCTCAGGCCAAGAGGAGGGATGAAATACTTGCTTTACTGTGGAAACAAAGAGAAGAGAGGATCACAGTAAGGCTGCTTATTTTTCATATTCATCTTTAACATGTCTATCTCAAGAGCAGTCCTTCTTTGGAACTTCTTACAATACAACATGTACCAGGAAACAACATACTCTGGTGAGGGGATACTGATATAATTAGAGGTTATCTAGTCTGAGAATAGTCTTGGAAAACGGATGCACTTCAGTATGAATGTTAACGAACTTTGGGAAAAGGAAGTAAAATATGTCCACTTCCCCTTATAATCCAAAAGACAGTGAGGAAAAGGAAATTGGTACAGCTTATATAAGTGGTCAAGGGGTTAATTGGCCAGATCTTGGGGCTGGGGTTAATTTTTGTAAGACTATATTTTTTCTATCCAGGTGCCCAGGTTCCTGTTTTTTGAGGCATCATGGTAGAAGAGGGTCTTCAGGACGGATTTAAATGTGCCTTTGCTCAGGAGGGATGTTTCGTGCATTAGGGACAGTAGGGAAGAAGGTATGGAGATGCTTGTGAGAGAAGCAGACAGTGCTGAGGCTCGCATTGCTCACAGGGAGGTGATAGGAAAAGAGACAAGGATGGATAAGTGCTAGGCCTAAGAGGCCTGGAAAAGATCTTGGATTTGGGAGGCAGAATCCAGGGGAGGGATTTATGAAGGGGGTGATATTGTCAGGTCAATGGGCAAGGAAGATGATCTTGGCAGCTGCATTTTGTTATAGCTGTTTGGCTACTAACACTAGAACTGAAATTAAATGTAAAACAAAGATAAAATACAATGTTCAACTTAAACAAGGATGAGTAACAGAAGCAACACTTCAGTCCGTTTTAATACAACCACATTTCACAGAAGTAGTTACATTTCTCAATTAATTTAGCTAGATGAATCTTTACAGACTGTCAGTCTTATTTTTAATTAACTTTATTTTTCATCATCTGTTGGCTTTCCCACTATAACACCCTATTACCAGAGATTTATACGAGAACCATAAAACTGACTATAGTTTTGGCATATGTTATCACGCTAGGATCCTTTTTATAAACTAATTTTTTGAGGGTGGGTAATCCCTTTAGCTTTTTTCTTATAAGTAGCATAAACTAGATTTATTGATTTGGAATGCTTTTGTGTGGATTAGCCAGATAGTTAGGAGAAACAGAAGGAACTGGAACAAGAGGGTTTTCTGTATGACTAAAGAATTCTCTTCCTACAGAGGCGATTGACGAGGTGCCAAGTAGAGATGTATGAGTTCAGAGGCCGTATAAGACCAAAACTACTTCTGCTGAAGAGCCATGCATCCTGATTGTTAAATTCAGTGACATTCTAGCAGCGAAGAGCAAAACTGCAGATTTTAGGCAGATAAATGTCATGATTTAATGTAATGAAACAGTGACTTGAAAAGCAAGATATCCTAAAAGACTTCAATAGATGAAATCTCCATCTTAGGAGTAAAATGGTCTTAAGAGCCAAAAGGGTCCTTTTTCTTCTCTCATTTATTTCAGGATTGTAAAGTGGTTCAAAGTAAGTACTTCCTTTTCACAAAGTTCATTAAAATCCAGGATAATGCATATCTGTTTTACAAGACAGTTTCCAAATTCAGTCCGTTAAAACTAAGCTTGGTACAAGGGACTGATCAAAATGATATTTCATACATATAAGAGCTGAATTGCTACAAGTATGTATCAGAAGGTGACTATTAATGAGGATCTCTTCATCTACTGCTTTTTGCTTTGTTTTATATGAATAAAATATATATGCTAGAATACTCAGACTACCTATGGCAGTAATTTACAAAAGCATCTGATCTGCCTGTTGATATTGTATTTCTGTGATTGCTGATTCTGAAAGGCTGCATTATACAATCTAAATTTAGAATGAATGAAAACAAATTCTAAATAATATTTCTTTATTTCTTAGAAAGAACAGATTTCTTGTCTACATAAATCAAAGACCAAAACACATCAAGTAAGGTAATGTAAATGCTTATTATAAAGTTATCACTCTGTCCCAGCAATATTGCCTGATTAAAGTCTGTTCCCATTATAAAGCCCTATTTTTGTGGGTTGATCCTCTGCCACAGAAATGTTCTCTGGGCCATAATGTTTTCCAATCATTTTTACTGTTTTTAAAAAAAAGATAATCAGATTTGCCTTACACGTGTACCCAGAATCAGAGGCTAGTGAAGAGAAAAGCCCTTTTACATTGACCAAATCAATCCTCTTTCAGCTAGTTCATAATTGCTAGTGCTTTCTCCAGCCTTGTTTTAAATACCTATATGAAGACAGGACACGTCACTTAGCACAACTGGCTCAAAAATCTTCTTTTACTTCTTATGCTCCAGCAATTTAGTAATAGAGGTGAGGAGGAGATGGAAGCTGAATTCTGAAACTAGAGCAATGGTGTGGAATTTCAAGAAAAATGTTAATATTTTGCTCCAGGTACAAAAAAGTTGGTGAAATCCAAGAAAAAACATGATTTTCAAGAAAATGTTTAGATTTCTTTACCAGGTAGTGAGGGAGATCAGAGAGCATGGACAGTAGGATGTGGGTCTTGGAGGTAGGATGGATGGTTTGAGAATATATATGCTCCTTCTTGTCCAAATAAAATGGGGCAGCCATAAAACAAAACACTCTGGCAGATTTTAAAATTTGCTTGTTTCAGGCCCTCCCGACAGATCAACAGTGTAGTGGATCACACAGTTTCATGTGGTGGTTGATGAAGATACAATTATTTCCAAATCTAACTCTTAAGGCCCTGATTCTGCAAACACTTACACGTTGACTTAAATGCAACTATTTTTTGAAGCCTGATCTACACCTAAAACTTAGGTTGACTTGTAAAGCTCACTCGGAGCTTTGGAAAATGTTATACCCTGAGCACCGTACTTAGATAGATGCGGCTAGTTCAATGGAAGGATTCTTCTGTTGAGCTAGCTACCACCTCTGAGAGAGGTGGGTTTCCTACATCAATGGAAAAACCCCTTTCATTGACGTAGGAGGCATCTATGCTACGGTGGCATAGCTGCAGTGCCTCAGCTGTGCTGCTGTAGCAACTGTAGTGTAGACATACCCTGAGTAATGCATTCAAAGAAGTGGGCTGTAGCCCACGAAAGCTTATGCTCTAATAAATTTGTTAGTCTCTAAGGTGCCACAAGTACTCCTGTTCTTTTTGCGGATACAGACTAACACGGCTGCTACTCTGATACCCTGAGTAAAGTTACTCATGTGCCCAAATGTTTGTGGGACTGGAAATGAGGGGCTAGATCCTATAAATGGATCTTCCTGGGGGCATCCCTGCATCATTGCAGAGCCACATTGAAGCCTTGAAGGCTGTGTGCCCATGCAGATAGTTCAAGATCTAGCCTTAAAACTGGAGAATTTTAAGAATATTTGAAGACTTTTGCAAAGGTGAGGGGTAAAATGCCCTAAAGAGAATTTCTGCTGCGGATAGAATACTGGATTAATGAACTGATCCAATAGTGTGGTTCCTAAACTTGGTGAAAGTTGTGACCAACATCATGACAGAGATTGCTGAGGATCTGATTTTCATTCTGCTGAACAGCTTTCTCTCTGGCCCTTGAATGGAATCTCCCGAGTGATGTCAGTACTCTTCTTTCCCATTGTGAGTGAGCATCTGTATAAACAAACAGGAGCCAGCAAATATCAGATAGGGAGTGGGAGATTTAATCTACTATGTGAGCAGAAGCTTAAATTTAAGGTCACATTACTGTTACTTTCAGAAACCAACAACTGAAAAAGGTTAGAAAACTCCCACAACGGATCTTTGTCAGCAGGTTTTGGTAAGAGGGGACTATCAGACAGGAACAGGAAAACATAAAAATCTGTCTTTGTAACAGGAAATCTCATTTAATTAGATAAAAAAGCAGTTTAAACCTGACCTTGTATACAAAAGATGCTGCTAAATTAAAGATGAAATATCAGGTCCTTTTACACCATTGTGCGGTTGTTTCTTTTTTGTCTGTCCATTAATATGTTTTCACTGTATATAGAGAAATAATAATAATCCCTATCCACTCCACAGGGCCAACATATACAATCTTAAATGCAGTTTTTTTTTCTGATACATGTCCACAGCTAGCTCAGCTCTACCCTTGAGTGTGTGAACAGTAAAAGCATTGCTTCTTGTAGTACAACACACGCTGCACCCATGAATCCCTTTCTACAAGGGAATTTCACAGCATCAGTAAATAAGGGCTCACTTACGGATGTAGATAAAACACTTTCACTAAAAGCCCAAAGGAATTCAATTGGGAGAATTCTGAGGTCACCGTGTGTGAACACTGGAAAGCTCTCAGCCTAAAGGTACAAAGTGCAGTGCTCTTAAACTGCAGATGGGAGTCTCTTGCCATTTCCTCCAGGCAGTCCTGTATCTATAGAGTGTATACTACTAAGAGGAACTGTGGGTATTTCACATTCTCACATGGCATATAATATTTCTGCTCTCTTTCTGTGGTTTGGGGGCATTCTCATTGATAGTCCCTGCCCTAAGGAGTTTACAATCTTCTTTGTTCAGTTTGCATAGTGCCTAGTATGATGGGATCCTAGGCGCTATCACAGTACAAATGATACATAATAGCAGTTGCCTATTCTCCTTTCCTGATGCCAGAAAATGTAATGTTACTCTGAAAAGCTGGTGTTTCTGTAGAACGTTCTCACATCAGCAGTTCCAAGATGCATTTTGATCCCTGTTTGTTAGGCAGCACTCAAGCAGTTAAAGAAAATAGCTGCATTTGCTACAATGTTGTCCTTTATTTCTAAAACCCATCTTAAAAATCTCATCTTTGGAAAAGCTGACCTGGTATCTCTCAATCCTTGATTCAGCAATTTCTCCCTTTTCATGAGTTTTAGATCGTTCAAATGAAAGCATTTTTCTCAGACAGCTGATTAGGGCCCACAGAGAAAACTGAAGTTTAATTCAGCTTATTACCATATAAAACCTTTCAAAAAAACATTTGCTTTAACTCTGCCTTCAAAGAGAACATTAAGCTACTGAGTGTATTTATTTAAGCAAACTCACCCATGCGTCTAACAAAGTGGGTATTCACCCACGAAAGCTTATGCTCCAGTACGTCTGTTAGTCTATAAGGTGCCACAGGACTCTTTGTCGCTTTTTACAGATCCAGGCTAACACGGCTACCCCTCTGATGCTTGTCACCCAGAGTGGAAGCTATAGAGTCATATCATAGTCTAGATGCATACCATGGTCTAGATAATACTTTTCCTGCCATGAGTACAGGGGACTGGACTAGATGACCTCTCGAGGTCTCTTCCAGTCCTATGATTCTATGATTGATTCTTTATTTCATTAGAATAGTTGTAAATTTAAGTCTCCTAATGCTTGTCACTGAGAAATGATCAATGATCATATCGATTTCACGAATATCTTTTAAAACATTTATAGTCTTTATTGGCTGAGATGATTCCTGTTTTCAGTGATCGCTCAGATGGACAGTTGGGAAAATATCTCCTATTTCCAGGGAGCTATGCAATGTCTAAATCCTACTCATCTTCTTTGGGCAGAATTCACTCCTTTCCTGAATCTTTCTACCTTTAGTGAATCTCCTTTCTCCCGCTCTGTTTGCCGCCATGCTGACCTCCTCAGCTCCCATGCTGGTCTTTCTGTATTTATATAGCCTTTCGCCTTCCAAGTATTTAAAAATAGAAATCAGTCTCTCTCTTCCTTCTAGCTTGTAGGGAAAATAGTTTGAATAGTTCTCCATGGACTGCCCTTTTTTTAATATATATATAGACAGACTTGCTTAAATAAGAGCTTGTTGACACATAAGTTATACTGCTTAACTATACTGTTTTAACTATAGCAGTACAAGCCTCCTCGTGTGGATGTAGTTGTACCAATATAAAGGTGCTTAGAGCAGTATAGCTTATTCCCATACTGGAAGGTGATGAAGTTGTACCAATATAAGGCACCCCTCTCCTGCATCCATTTAAGGGTGTACTGGTCTATAATTATTTCAGTTTAAAAAAAAAAAAAAACACTCACCCTTAACCAATATAGTTGTGCTGGTGCAAAATATGTGTGACAGGTCTTATTTCTTTAGCAATTTTGTGCATGTGTTTATCTGTAGAGCTTATCAAAGGAAAGCCAAGTCAAAGAGCAAATTCAATGTAGTGTGGCCCATAGTTATTCTCTCTTGCATGAGATATTAAGGCTGGACTCTAGATAGCCTTAGTCCAGCTGTTGTGAAAGTTCTGCCTACTATGCTCATGAGCCTTCCCCATTCATCGGCTGTTTCACATCTACACCTCACTGGAATCATGATTGCAAAGGGAGAAGGGATTTCTCAGGTTCATTTGCATGGAGAGGTTTAAATATCAGAACAGTGAACTGGAATTGGAGTCTGCAGTCAGTTCTCATCATCTCTAGGTTGGTCACTGACCCCCTCTGTTTAGGCTTGCTTCTCTTCCTGTCTCACAGGCACCTCTTTCTGGACGCTCTCCCACTTGCTTAAACTAAATGTGGCAACACCTGAACTTCTCACATTTCCTGTGAACCCCTTTCTTCATCACCGCTGAGAACTCCACTGTCCTCCCTGTCACTCAGGCTCATAACCCTGGAGTTATATCTAGATTGTAAAATTTTCAGGGTAGAGACCCCGTGCTTTTAAAATCTCTGTAAAACACCATGTAAAGATGTGGTGCTCTAGGGACTTAATAATTATACAAAAGAAGTGCAAGAAAAAGATATTAAACCAACATGCGTTGGACACAAACTCCTGAACGCCTTTAACAGTCTGCCATGTGCTTAGGCATTGCAAAACACATTGTACTGATGATCACTTATCTATGCTATTCTAAGAGCCTCTAATAGTGCTGCCATCCCAGTGCACAAGGGTCCGATAGAAATATGCTAACATTGTTTAAACAGAGAATTGTCTTGAGTTTTGATGGTATTAGTTACCCATAAAGTTTGTTTTCTGTATCAGCATGAAAAACCAAACAAACTTGGTGTTGTTTTCTACAGGATTTGAAAATGTAACTGCATACCCAGAGTCCAAGGGTTGGATCCTCAAAAGAGCCTAACTTATTTTGGAGCACATCTTCCATTGACTTTCAACAGACTTGTGCTTCGAAAGATGCATAGGCACTTCTGAAATTCCATCCTTAGTGTCCAAACAAATAGCTGTTTTTTCATTTGGTTCTGAAAGTTAAAATAACTGCCTGTAGGCCCCTGTCCTGCAAAGATTCATGTATATGCCTCACTTTATGCAGTGAATAGTCTTATTGGGACTATGCATTGTGGGTTAAGGGAAGCCTCTGTGTTTAGTCATTGCAGGACCAGGGTCATAGTAAGTAACAACTCTGTGTCCCCCCCCCCCCCCCAAGTGACCCTGTGGTCTAGATCAGTGGTTCTCAACCTATTTACCATTGTGGGCCACATATGCAACTCTGTGTTATATGGGCTGCATCCACACAATGTATATACTACCTGTACGGCCCTGAGGACGTCACATGGACCGCAGCTGTGTGCTGATTGAGAACCACTGGTCTAGAGCTTGGCAAAATATCTGAAGCTGAAAATATTTTGAATTAAACTGAACATTGGAAGTGTTTACTCTGCAAAATTGGATAAAGAGGCAAAATATGTGGCGGTGGCCTCAACCAGTCAGCATAAAACCTGAAACTAAAGTACAGGAACTGCATCACCCATTTATTTACTGCAGCTGACCTGGTTCTGTTATTTCCAACAGGGCAAAGATATCTGATTCTGACATTGAGGATCAAGAAACAGTAAAAGCCCTTGAATAGTTTGGTTAAGGTGACTGACTTGGAGATTAAAGTCTTTGTCTCTTCACTTCAGAATGATATCCTGCTAACAGGCCTATTCAGCTTTGGAATTTAAGCCACATGCATTCCTGCTTTCATTACATTTCTAGTTCTTCCTATTGAGGCACGGGATACTCTGCCCAAAGTTATGGATGAACTTGATGGAGCAGATCTTCAATCCAGCTGTAAATTTCTTTGTACTTTGTTTGGTTAAAAGTCAAAGTAATAAATGTTTAATCCAAATAAATGGATTTTTAACTGCAAATTTTTTATTTACTTTGGAAATTAATTATGCTATGTCTGTTTATGGCATCATGGTTTTACAAATGCTAGTTCTGTTCTGGTTTTTTTAACCAGCCTCATATTTTTCCTTTGTCTTGGCACTCTCCCACCAAACTAAATACAGTGAGTGATAATTGTGTATCTGATAAAACAGGGCGGCTGCATAGGGCAATTGTTTGTGAAATAAATTTTACTGGCCTTGCTATCATAGAGACTATACATCTCTCTAAGACTAATTATCTTTCCTAATACTAGGAAAATATAAGCCTTACTGAGCTTTATTCCTGATGATTCAAAACTAGGTTCTAATTGAATTTAGTGCATAAATTCATTGAGATTGCAAACCCCTTCTATGACAGCAAAACATGTCTCTCTGAATTTTCTCCTGCTCTGCTGCAATGTTTCTTTTGGTAGCCAACACTGATGCGCAGCAAGACAAATTCACAAAGGGCTTGATTCCCTTCCTTGTTCTCTGTGTGCAAGAAATGAAAGTGCTAATTGCAGCAAGATCTTTTCGGAGATTGTCAGCATAAAAAAATGAGTGGAAATACTGCCCAAAAATGTCAGTGAAACATTTTGTAGGGTGGGAATTAGGCATCCCCAGTATCTACATTCCCTGTTCATCTAGAAGGGGATGTTTTTCACAGCCTCCTGTCACTTGCAAGGGAAGGCAGGTTCTATAACTTCCTCAGACTCTGTACTCTGAATTGGTCAGCATTGTTGTGCATCGCTTTCAGGACACGCACACACACACTCACACTCTCTCTCTCTCTTCCCCCTCCCCCTCCCCCCCCGGCTCAGATAATATGCATCTCACTCAACGCACCAGCTATGTCCAGCCATCAATCTTCATTGCTATTATCAAATCTGACCAACCTCTCTTGGCTTTTGAAATATTTATGCTAAATGTTAATGTGGCCAGTGCTTGAATGGGAGAGCAGAAAAGGAAAAACCCTGTAGTTGCAGTTGGTGATCGTGGTGGAGTAGGAAGTACTTTCCCCTCTGAAACACTACTCAACGAGCCTCCTACCGGAGCGATAGAGGTGCAAGAGGTGCCACCTTTTGGATGTGCCATTAAAAAGTGAGGCCCAGCAATGCCTGGTCAAGAAAGATCCTATGGCACGTTTTGCAGAAGTATGGGGTATTAGCCCTAAAATCTCAGTCAAATAACAAAATAAGGAAGAGGATGACACTCGGATACTACAGTAGTGGATATGGTATAAAACCTGAATCCCCTAGAATTGATGTGAACTGAAAATGATAGACACATCTATAACAAAAACCTGGCTAGAAAGAAATGAAAAGGACCTGACAGAGGCTAAGATATTCTAGAGAGTGTTGGGTCATTTGGTTAGTGACTTATTGTGACATTCTTGGGGTGCTCAGGACTTATTGTGTTTACCTGGGTGTCAGCTCCTTGACACCACCAGCCTATTACCTATCCAAACAATCTTCTGTGGGCTATGCCAGCCCTTTACTTTTCCCTCCAGGTTAACAGTAAGTGTACCTCAGTCTCCAAGCTACTTTGAAGCATTGCCCTTGTGATGGGTTGGATCACAGAAACCCCCTTGGGAGCTGCCACCCAATGTACCAAGACTACCCCTGTTCCTGTTTTCCCTGCCAGCTCAGGACTCCAGCACCCTGTCTTGCTGAGCCAGACACTCCCGTCTGCTCCAACACAGACCCAGGGTCTGAATCACTTGTCCCAGAGCTGCAAGTTTACCCAAAAACAGCTCACAGAAGTGTGCTTGTCTTTAGCACTCAGATGCCCAACTCCCAATGGGGTCTAAACCCAGATAAATCCGTTTTACTCTGCATAAAGCTTATGCAGGGCAAACTCATAAATTGTTCGCCCTCTATAACACTGATAGAGAGATATGCACAGTTGTTTGCTCCCCCAGGTGTTAATACATACTCTGAGTAAATTACTAAATAAAAAGTGATTTTATTAAATACAGACAGTGGGATTTAAGTGGTTCCAAGTAGTAATAGACAGAACAAAGTAAGTCACCAAGTAAAATAAAATAAAATGCGCAAATCTATGTCTAATCAAACTAAATACAGATAAGTTCCTCACCAGTTCCCGAATGCTCCCTTTTACAGGCTAATCTCCTTTTAGCCTGGGTCCAGCAATCACTCACACCCCCTGTAGTTACTGTTGTTTGTTTCAGTTTCCTTCAAGTATCCTGGGGGGTGGAGAGGCTCCTTCTTTAGCCAGCTGAAGACAAAATGGAGGGGTCTCCCACGGGTTTAAATAGACTCTCTCTTGTGGGTGGAGACCTCCCTCCTATGCAAAGTCCAGCTCCAAGATGGAGTTCTGGAGTCACCTGGGCAAGTCACATGTCCCTGCATGACTCAGTCTTTACAGGCCGAAGCCATTGTCCACATGGTATCTTGCATGTCTCCAGGAAGACTTCTTATGTGGATTGGAGCATTCCAAGATGCATTGTTCTCCAAGTGTTTCCTGATCAGGTACTTTACCTGGTGAATTCCTTCCTAAAGAAGCTGACCAAATGCCTCCGAAAGCTTACTTAAAAACCAAGCAAGCATACAGCCCATATTCTTAACCTCAAGTAGAAAATGATATATATGTACAAATAGGATGAACAGATATAGTAGACCATAACCTTTACGGAGATATATTACATGACACAGGCAGCACAAAACATATTCCAGTTATGTCATACATACATTTATAAGCACCCCCTCCCCATAAAGCCTTATGGGGTACACTGTCACACCCCTGTCATATCCAGCTTCTTCTATACTGAACACTCAAAGAATTACCAGCTCAGCTGTTCCCAAATGGACAGTATACACACCAGGATTATATCTTTGTAGAACACACAATACTTAGATATATTTGTAGTGAAAACAAGAATAAGTTTATTAACAAAATAGAGATGCAAAGATTCAAGTGAATAGTGAGTAAGATTATTGGTGGAAAATGGTTAAATATCAAACAAATCAATACAAATGTTCCAGAGACTAAACAAGCTAACCTCCTGTCGAAAGCAGTCTTATCTCACACAAAGCCTTTTGCAGTGTTTCCAGCCAAGGCTGGTTATGATCCCATTTTTCATGAATGTAAATGTGCCATCTGTTTATTTCCTAGGTGCAGGATAACAGGGTGCTTTCCTTGTCCTCCCAGCTATAGTGCTGTAAACCTTTTGAAGTGCACCCCCGATAATGCTATTTTCCCTCTGCTGTTCTTCTCTTCCTGTTGAATCTCACAATCCTTCATCTGTGTTTTGTTCCTGCTGATGATTGTGAACTACACAATACTCAGTGTACATTTCAACAGATAAATGGATAAATATCTCTGGGTGGATAGAAAACCAGTTTTCACCTCTGCTGATTAGCACCTTGGTACAAACTGTAAGAACATATTTCCAGTAATATATATATGTAAGTCCTTCCATAGTAGCAGTGCATACATTTTATGATGATATTCATAACCAGTGTGACACCAACTTTCCTTTGACACCTTGCATGACATTTTTTGGTATACCTGAATCAGGATTTTTTTGTAACCTCCGTATCAGTTGACACTGAGAGGTTTGGGGGTCACATTTATCCAAGGGATTTTAATTCTTCGGAGCTTTGCTAGCCAGATTCTAAATGCTATAACTCTTCTGAACTCTGATGGATTTGTAAACTGAATAGGTCTGGCAAATTTCATCAGCACTAAATTCACTTAAAATGCAAAGGAAAATAAAAGTTTGTTATATTAAATGATATGTTGTTTAAGCAGATGCTGGGTAAGGAGAAGGAGCATAGAGCTAACAATGTCACAAGGGCTGCATAATTAGTTAACAGGATTGTCTAACACGTTTTTAAAATACTGAAGACTCTAAAATCTGTTGCAAGACAAATTATATGAGATGTTTAAATATTTGTACTTCATGCTTGTTCAAAAAAAAAAGTTTGATCAGGGCTGCATCCCTTAATGGCATTTTTCTGTCAAAATCAGCAGAATTTTATTTGCTGCAGTGTGATCTCTGGTTGTGCATCTGATTTGGGAGGGGCTGATGGTGAGTGAGTGGCACAATATCCAGTCACTTGCAGTAATTCAACAAAATGTCTTGAAAATGCTGACACTTCCTTCAGGAAGGCGTGCTTGTAGTTTTAACATTTTTTCTTTGAACCCATTAAGAAACTCCTTGTATGTACACTCTAGAGCAATTGGAAATTATTTTACCTATAGTATGAAAATATCCAACAGCTTCAATGAAGTTTATTTTTTTTATACTTTCTAGAAGCACAATAATTATTTTGGTCACCTCATTATTCATGAAACAAACAAAATTTTCCAAAACAGGATTTCCTTTTGTGCGTCAAAAAGTGTTTCAAAGAGCAGATGTTCTAATGGAGCTTCAAGGAAGTGAAGCTTTGGCTGGCATGTGTCCAATTTCAAGAATAGACCCCCAAGCTACTGGCAACTTACACGCTCTGCTTTTCTAGATATTTAGAGTAGTTTAAGAGGATTTGAAGTGGTTAGATGCTTATGCTGCCTTAATGACATACCTTGCTTTAAGGATTTTGAAGAATCTTAAAAATTGAAAGGATTTAAGGAGTTTTCTTCTAAAAACCCAGGAAATTAAATGTTTTAAAAATGTGTTATACAATCATTAAAGCCATAAAATTGCTCATGAGAATATAGGTACATAGGTAGATGTTTGAATGTTTGATGGATCAGGGCCTTATTAACCAAGGGTCAGGAACGGCAAAAGATACAGTTCCTAGAAGAGCATTAATTCTGCTGCGTTGCACAACCTGTGTAATTTTATGACATGACATAACTATACAGGATGCAGCAGAGGCAACTATACAAGGCAGCGGAAGTAATGCAGTTGGAACCCTAACTTCTGCATTTCCTGACTGCTGGTGACGTGGAGTACAAAGCTTGCAAGTTTTACTAAAAGGCCTTTTTAAAATTAATATTTATTGATTTTTTTTGGATAATCCTTTCATTGAAAAGTTTCTCCAGCTGGGCCCAAAAGAATGAGCCTGAGTTTTAATTTTATTAAAATTTGTTAATTCTCCATTTAAAAAAACCCCACAACTTTGTATCTCAGTGCCATTCAGACAATGGTGCTCTGGAGTTTTCCTACATTTTATTCTTTGTAATTCTCTGTCCCTGTCTGCAGCACCTGGAAACCATCTCAGGCGTGGAGCATTTGAACCTCAGCTGAAGAGTCAATGGGTCCGGAAACAGATGCACACCAACTTCCCAGTCAGGAAATAACAGACAGTGAGGAAAATGCAGACTCAGCATTTATCCCATTAAAGTCAGTGTTTGACTCAAAATCCATACATATTTACTTTCTGTACTGCTAGGCCCAAAGCAGATGCTTAACAGTGACCAGAGAACAGAGTCCTCAACACCTCTGACCGGAGGTTCTGTCCATAGCTTTTAGGGGTTGTGGACAGAGGCTCTGTCCCTAGTTTGTGCAGCCTTAGGGGATGTTGATCGAGCTCCCTGGGATATGGGCACATTTCCCCTTGTCCCAGCTCTTTCAGCAGCCACCATGCAAATCCCTGAGTCTGCAGTAGAAATGCAGCATTTTGTGTTGGCATGATTACAACCGTATCCCCCCTATGGCAGGGGTGTGAAATTGAAGGGGGGGACTGGTGTAGGAGGTTAGTGTAGGGTGTTCGGGGAGAAAGGGGGGTGTTTTGAGAAGACTGGGAGGCTGTGTCTTGGAGTTGAGAGGAGAGAGAGCCTGTGGGTTGCACAGAGGAGGTGTGTGGGGGAGTGTACAGTGTGTGTATAGAGGACTGAGGGGTGCAGGGGGCAGGGTTGGAGGATGTGGGGAGGGGCATGCTGTGTAGAGGAGGTTGGGGGGAGTATGGAGTGTGAGTACTGGGCTGAGGGGTGGGGGGCAGGGTGGGGTGTACAGTGTGTTGGGGCAGGGTGGAGGTTGCAGGGATGTAAGGGGGTGGGGTGTAGGTTGTAGGGGTGTCTGGGGGCGGGGTGCACAGTGTATGGGGGCGGGGTGGAGGTTGCAGGGGTGTCAAGGGGCGGGGGGTACAGTGTGTGGGGGCGGGGTGGAGGTTATAGGGGTGCACGTGGGAGGGGCGCGGGGTGTGTAGAGAAGCAGGGGGGGTATAGTGGGAGGGGGGTGAGGGCCTGGGGGCTGCACAGCGAAGCCGAGGTAGCCCTGCCTGCTTGTGCTCGGGGCGGGGGCGGGGGAGGGGGGGTCAGGCCCTCTCCCCTTGGCCGGCCCGTGGCCGGGGAGGCGGGGCCGGCTCCGCCCCGCTCCCTCCCTCCCTCTAGCCCAGCCCGGTCCCGGAGCGACCGCTCGGCTCAGGCGGGAGATGCGGCTCCGGGAGCGCGGCGCCCGCGGCCATGGGACTGGGGCAGGCGCTGGTGGCCGCGGCCATGTGCGCCGCGGTGCTGGGCTGCGTGGGAGCGTCCCGGCTGCTGAGCGGTGAGTGGGGCCGAGCGGTCCAGGGCTCTGTGCCCACGCTGCTGCAACAGCGGCAGGGCTGGGGCGGGAGAGCGTAGAGCCGGCGATTTTCCTCGTTTAAGCCAAGTGGGAAGGGAAATGCCTGTGGCTACTTTGCAACTAACATCCAGAGCATGGTGTGGTCCCTGCAAGGTTCTCTGCTCCAGAGGTACAGCCAGGCTGGGTCTGGGACTAGACTAGACAGTGATTCCTACCCCTGGACACTGTTACACATAGTGATTCTCCTCAGTTGTTAGAGTGCTCCCCCCTCCAGTCTCTTGGTTATCTTGCTGCTCCCCCTCTCCCCGGAGGATTTTAAATGCAGCAGACCCACTCTCCCCAATTATATTTATCGTCCCCAGATGAATTTTCAAAAGACTGTGGATTTTCTCATTTCTATCTTGCAAAATCCCTTTTTGGGATAGAACATAATACATAGTCCTGCCATGAGTGCCGGGGACTGGACTAGATGACCTCTCGAGGTCCCTTCCAGTCCTATGAGTCTATGACAGGAAGGTGGATAATTTTCAGACTTTCCAGAATGTGTAAGCAATAAAAACAGCATATCATCTTGGGATGGGGGCCTAGTAAATTTTTGGTCTTTATTGATACGTGTCTATATTGCATTATATGTGTGTACAGGAATTGCCATACTAGATCAGAGCTGATGTTTTAGAGAAAAGTGCAAGAAACCCCACAGTGGATGGGTATAGAATGACACACAGGGAGCTTGTGAGGGGAAATGAAGGGATACCTTCGCGAGTAAGTTTTGGAGGGGGAAACAGGAAAACAGAGTCTCATTCTACATTGGCTAGAACTGTGCATACAATTGTTCTGTGTTGCCTAATCAATAACATACCCTACGGTGATATCACTATTTGGACAGTTAACTTGCAGTGTTGCCTGGAAAGTGAGCAACTACATTAAATTTTTCCTTCGCTAAAAGAAAAGGCAAGTTTTTGGTTGATAAGACACAGATGTTCTGCCGGTTTGTGAAAATACTTGCTTGGCATATCAAAAAGGAACCTTGTAGTTCATAACTGAAGCTCTCCCTCTGCAGCTCCGTTTTGCTTTTACCACACTCCACAGCAGCGGACCTGGTCCTCAGGGCTGGTAGAGTATTGCTTCTTTTTCACCAGCGCTGCCTGTCTTTAAAACTATTAATGGAAAATACAGGGTTTACCTAAAGACACATTTTAAATGATGCTTTTACTGCATCCCTTGTTTTAATTTCTTTGACAAATTTTAGCAGTCGCTGTAATTCCAAATATGCAAGTGAGTGGATTTAAATCTCCAAAACAGAATAGATTTAAATTCCTGTTGCACCAGTGGCCTTGGATAAAGGTGTAGAAACACAAAAGGACAAGCATACACCACCACACTTTTTTTAGGAGCATTGATTTACAATGCAGAAGTTTGTAACATTCTGTCCTTAAATCATACTTATTTATGACTACGTAATATCTGTTAACTGTTGTTTTTCTATTGTAGATTCACAAGTTGCTAAACTAAATGTATGTTGCATATTCTTACATGATAAATATTTATTTTCAAAGCTATTTGTTTCAACAATTTAAATATTGGGAATGTTTGGTTATAAAGCATTCCAGTCCGTATTTTTTATAGTAAGTGTGTCTATTCTCTTTGATGTTCACTTTCTTTGTTTTATGCTCAAAATAAGCCAGGCTGTTACATGCATATGAGAGAGCTTGGCTCATGACTGCAAACAGTCATTGTTTACTTCTTTAGAAGTCTGGAACATTATGCTCTGGAAAGCATATCCTGATTAACTGCAGTGAGTTCCATGAAGCTATTATGCACCTCCCAAGTGGTAAATAATTTTTATTTCTGGACCTGTAAGCACATCTCGGGATCTGAGTGAGTTTCTAGCCAGTTAAATTATTACAAAAGAGCATGGTTGAATCCTAGTGCAGCATCTCTCTCTCTTACAATGTTGGACATATCCGTTGGTTCTCTGGCACAACATTCCAGTGTGGGAATCTTCTCCCCCTCTGCAAGGAATTGCTGAGGTTTCTTCATTGCAGAGAACTCTTGGTGTGGCTGTGGATCCCAGGAACTGAGAAAACAGTGCTGCAGAGGTCAGTCTGAACTAGTGTATGCAACAAGAAAAGGTAGACAGTGCTCAATAATTCCTCAGTCATATCAAAGTTAGTATTTATTTCTTTTGCGTATTTGGAGTTGTTTATATAAACTGCCACACAATGCAAAATTCAACAAGTATTAATGGTATTTGCTTACTCTTTGTACTAATCATCAGCAGCTAATGCATGCAGTCTCTGTAATTGGCTTATTTCTATTTCTGTAGGGCAGACAGTTTGCCGGGGTGGAACTCAGCGACCGTGCTACAAAATCATTTACTTTCATGATGCTTTGCGCAGGATCAACTTTGAAGAAGCGCACCAGACATGCAGAAGAGATGGTGGGCATTTAGTCAGTATTGAATCAGGATCAGAACAGAGACTGATTGAAAAATTGATTGAGAGTCTCTTGGCTTCAGATGGAGATTTTTGGATAGGACTTAGGAGAAAAGAGGAAGACGTGGACAATAGCACAGAATGTCAGGGCCTGTATTCATGGTCTGATGGCAGTACATCCAAATTTCGGTAGGTACCTGAAGATAAAAATGTTAGAAATCTATAGTTTTAAAGTCCTGGCTAAAATGCAGGGGCGGCTCTATGTGTTTTGCCACCCCAAGCACGGCAGTCAGGCGGCTTTTGGTCGCGCGCCTGCGGGCGGTCTGCTGGTCACGCCGATTCGGCGGCATGCCTGCGGGAGGTCCGCTGGTCCCGCGGCTTCAGCATACCTGCCACCGAATTGCCGCCAAATCTGCGGGACCGGCGGACCTCCCACAGGCACGCCGCCGAAGGCAGACTGACTGCCGCCCTCACAGGGACTGGCAGGCCGCCCCCCACTGCTTGCCGCCCCAGGCACGCGCTTGCTGCACTGGTACCTGGAGCCATCCCTGCTAAAATGTTTACAGTACAGGGTAAACTGATGTTTTGAAATGAAATTCCCTAAACTTCAGGACTCCTTTTTTTTCCCTCCTCAATGATAGGACTTACTCTCGTTGACTGCAGCAGGAATAACTCTTATCCTTTTGAGGGAGGATGGAGCTTGAGAATTGCATTGAGTTTATCTTTGCACTACCTGATAGATCTCTTATCTCATGGCAAGTGGAACCATAATGCTCACTGTAATTATTCCCTTATAAGATTGTGGAGAGGAGACTTCCAAGGAATATGAGTTTTGCAGGAGATGGTTTTGATACATTAACATCTTCCAAATATGTTTGAACCAAAAATGTGTGTAGCCTCAAGTCTTGCTTAGTCCTCTTTTGATTCTGATCTTAAGTCACAGTTTTCTAGGTGAACAGCAAATAATCTTAAATGAGAACTCATCCTTACAAAGTTCGTATTTGCCTGAGGTAGAAATAGAGTAACATATACTCCAAATGCTGCCAGATTAATGATAGTCTTTGCAACAACGTGCCAACATTGCAGTGAATTTGCTGGTTCTAATTTTGCCAAGGGTGCAGTTCCTATTGAATCTTTAATTAAAGTTATTAAAAAAAATCAAAGCATGGATGCAATTCACTAATTATCCTGCACATTTTGCAGCATTTACTGTGAGTGAACCCATCTATTTCATTCAATAGCCCAAGTGTAATTAAATACTTTATGAGAACACTTAAATTAAGACATTGCCATATATATTTGAGCTCTTCTTACTAAGAGTTATGCACTGAAATAATCTGTTTCTGTAAGAGCTATGCTTTGGAAGCCACAGTAAGAAAAAGGTATTGCTCTTCCTTCCCTACTTTTTATGATGAGTTTGTTTACAAAGTGGAGGAAAAGCAGATGTTGATCTTTTCCAGCAAGCAGAGAGGAGTGCATTGTATAACTCCTTTGAGATGGAAGACGTGAGGTGAATAATGGAGAAAGATACTCACAGTTTAGGTAACACTGAAACCAGATGGCAGGAAAATCAACCATTACATGCGAACACTTGTGAGGAACTACTGGTCAAGAGACAACATATTGGTCATAAGGTCTGGGCAGTGTTTGGGGGAGCTACCAAAAGGGCAAATACTGTGCCATCTTCCGATCTGAATTTAGCCCCCCAAAAAGAAAAATATGTATCAGCACTTAGCATTAGGAAAACGCACTTTGAAATGTAGTCTATTAAATGCTTTGAGGAGTAGGTTATCTGATGTGCTTACTTATTCTACACTGAGTTACACACAATCTGTTACGGATGTGCTGGGAAAAACATTAGTTGCTCATGAAGTCGGAAAGTGTCTTCTGGCATCATGGAAAACTTGCTTAATATGACATTTCCTTCCTCCGGAATTATCCAAGACAAGCTGGTGACCTCTGCCCCATTGCTTGAGCTTTTGCTCCCCCCACGTCCCAATGGCATAATTTAAAAGTGAAGTCTGAACCTCACTTCTGAATCTCTCAGCTTTTCTCAGTTTGGCATGCATCCTCATCACTTAGGGAAGGGAAAGCAAATCGGGATTTGAGATCACACTCTTTGGGACTCTATGCAGATAGGTAGCTTACATAAGAACCTATAACAAATCTCCAAGAAACGATTCTCTTTATGTTCTAAGGACAGTTAGGGTCGTGGAACGCTAATAAGATGCTCAGCCATAAGTAAGGCTGGATGAGATGCATCTGCTTTTAGTGCTGTTTGCTAGGACACTTAAGTTCAATAGCGTAATATTTTCCTCTGTGGTCCAAATACTGGGAAAGTTGGTTATGGAGGTATAGGGCCAGATTCCCTGCTGTTACAAATGGGCATAGCTCAGTTGACTTCCATTGAGGGAGCCATGCCAATTTGTACCAAAGGATCTGGCCAAAGATGCTAATGAGTAATACTATTTTAAAAGAGGAAAAAAATACATCCCATGTAAATTTACCATTTTTATTGGATCTGGGCTGTTTTCTTTGTAAAGAGCAAAATCGCATGCAGTATAAATGTATGTAAAAAGAATATCTTGTAATGATTACAAGATTGGTTGGACATTTATCTGGTAGTTTCCCTTTTGAAATATTCTGGTATAGCTAGAATTATTTATATTCTAAGGGCCAGATTTCCAGACTCCAACCTAATTGGGAGCAGTTGGGTGCTAGCACTCTTAGAAATCAGGCCTTGTAATCTTAAAAGTAATAGTCATCTGAGTCTGATTCCTAAAATGTCTGTACAGTAATAGATATATGACAGAGTGCTAAATAGTAAGGGAATTTTTCCTATATTCTTCTTAGAAAGGTCCGTGCATTTTCCAGTGGTAATGTTTTGCTATTACTGGAAAAAACATCACCTGTAAGGCAGCTCCTTTCATTTTAGTACACTTCTGCCTAGAGCAAAGCAGATTTCCTTTAAGCATTTTTCATTATCTTATAAAATGGATAAATGGTTGAAAGCAATGGAGTTTGAGAGCAGCGAACATAGGTCATTTTTAACCTGAAAATAAGTAAAGTAAGTCAGAGATCACCTCAAAGGAGATGAAGGGGGTGAGGTGCTCAACCCTCATTTAAATCCAATGGGAATTGGGTACCTAACTTCCTTAAGGTCCTTTGACAGCCGCAATATGGAATCCCTTATCTTCCAGTCATGTGAGTCTTCCGAATAGGAAATACTGTTTGTAATGTGCACAAAAGACTTAGAAACTAGGTTGAGATCAAACTTCTTTTCATTTTGCTCTAAATGGGATTCAGACCACTTTTTTTACTACTTACATTTAGTATCAAGAGTTTCTCCATTGACCCCCATCTTGTGAAAATCTAAAAAAACAAAAATGTGAAAATAAACTACTGATAACTGAATTGGTGGGAGCAGCGTGTGCATCTAGCTGATGAGAGGGTACAAGTTGAATCGTGTTCAGCATTAGTTCTTCTATCACTGATGTTTGGAATCCTGTGCTATATTCCAAGTCTGAGCTTCTGCAATATCAGGGGAAATGCATCGCCTGATGTGGTGCTTGGTTTATTTTTCTAGGAATTGGTATACAGATGAGCCTTCCTGCGGGAGTGAGATCTGCGTTGTGATGTACCACCAGCCCTCTGCCCCGGCAGGTGTCGGAGGTTCCTATATGTTTCAGTGGAATGATGACAGATGCAACATGAAAAATAACTTCATTTGCAAATATTCTCTTGGTAATGAGTTACTCTGTATCACGTAAAAATGACTGTACTCTAATCCACAGGGGGGTGTATTACTAGTCAGGTGTCACATGGTTTGCCTCTAACTAGCCAGACGTGTATCACCTGTGCTGGGAAACAATTGGTAGAAGGCAGACATGCATTTAAATGGATAAAAGTCCTGTGGACAGATGGGACACTTCCCAGATCCTCAAAGGGTATTTAGGCTCCTAATTTCCACTGAAAACAATGGAAGTTAGGAACCTAATACCTTTGAGGATCTGGGCTGCTGTACTGAATGTCCCTGGGTAGGTACTTTGCAAAATGTATGAACCGACTGGCTTGGAAGCTCTCCTTTTTTAAAAGTCTTTTTTAAAAGTTCAGAATCTGAAATGGGCCCTAAAGGGGAGAGGGAGGATGCTGTTGTGAGGGCCAATGCCAGCTTCTCTCACTATATTTATTTGACATGGTCAAATGCATAAGGAAATTTAGTATGTGCTTCTTTCTTTTAGAAAAACCAACTGCTGCCCCAGAAGAGAACTCCCACGTGGGTGAGTTACAGACAAGTATTTGATTTGCTGACATGGTAATTTTTGGTAAAAATATTCCTAGAGGATCTTTACATTTACCTGAAGTAATGAAAATTGACCAAAGAAGTTGCCCCTCAGTTAGCATTTCCTTCTATTTATCTCAAACCCAAGGTCCAGCAACCAGGTCTGACGTGGTGTTGCTGTCCAATCTGGAGTCCACCGCTATGCTACGGAGCTCTGAGCAAAAGAGAATGAGATCAAAACACACCGTGTATCTGGCAGTGTCCTAAATCCCTTATTTTTGTCTCGTTTTTAATTATTCTCTGGAGTTCATTCAATGTTTAACCCGTATCTTCAATATTAACCAGTCACTTTTCCCCCCAGATGTTGTCACAGGGTCCTGGAAGCCAACGTTCCCAGAAGAACGCATTAAGGAAGATGCCAATGAAACCCTTAAAGAACCCAAAGGTACAGAGCACATACAACGGCTAGCCATTACCCTCTGCAGCTATGCACACCTGCTGCTTCCACTGGCCTCAGTGTGGTTGCAGATGCTCAGCACCTCTGAATATTGAGCCTCTTATGGTATGCGTACACAGCAAAAGCATGCACAAACCAGCCGGCTTGAGCTAGCTTGAATCCAGCTAGCGTGGGTAACAGTAGCAGTGCAGACAGCACAGAGTGAGCTTCAGAGGAGGTCATACAAGCCCCTCATGGACCCTGGGTACGTACTTGGCTCTGAAGCCCATGCTGCGCTGTCTTCACTGCTATTGTTACTTGCAATAGCTGCATTCAAGCCTGCTCGGGTAGGCACCGCTCTTGCTGTGTAGACAAATCTTGTTCTCTGTGACTGTCTATGAATTTAGAAGCCTAAATGTAGGTACTCATGTTTGATAGTTTTGCTCTGAATCTTTACAATTACAAAACTAAATTGGTTGTTTTGGCTATCAAATGATTTATGCCAAAGCTGTACTAACTAAGTCAGATGTGAAAAAACTACCTCGAATGAATGGCCTTGCATTTCAATGATGCACATTTGAAATGTCAAAGACATTAACTTGTTGTTACCACACTGACTTTTTTCCTTGTATAGATAAAGGGACTTGCATCGTCCCCATGCCTTTATCTGTGTGAGGAAAGAAATCTAATGAAGTTAGGGAGGAAGAAATGTCCCACTCAGTCATTAAATAATTCCCACTTAAAATCCTTATGATGGTTGTTTATAAGCCTTTCAAAAGACAACACATCTCATTAGCTTCTTCCATTATTACTTTCACAGGAATAGATTGAGAAAATGTCAAATAAACGTTAGGAAAGTTACGTTTTTTTGGTTTAGATCCTGCTATTTCTCTTATATTTTGTCCGACAGATCCTTCTGAAATGCAGGTTATCCCACATCCTCGTCCTGAGGGATTTATTATACTGGCCATGATTGGAGATTGGTCCTTCTAGTCCAGTATCCACTAGTTTGATCCAGTCAGGGAATTCCTATATTCCACCATCCATGGAGGATGGGAAAATTAGGGTTACTATATATAGAGAGCCCCAAACTAGGAGACTCAAGAGCACAGTTTGGTCTGATCTGCTGAGCTAGAGGATTATTCTGTACTTGAAGTGTTGGCATTGAGAGTGGGGTAGCTGCTAATACATTACAAATAGGACTGAAGAAAACCTTTTATTATTATTATTTATTATTATTTGGCAGTACTACCTTTCACGGGAATAATTTGTACATGCAAAATAAATTTTAAAATGGATAACAGTTAGAATTTCATATTTTTCTCCCCCAGAACCTGTTTTGAGTCTTGTCTACATCTTAATTCCCAGCATCCCTCTGCTCCTTCTCCTGATGGTCGTTACAGCCATCGTCTGTTTTTGGCTTTTTGCAAAGAGGCAAGTGGCATGATTGTGCAAGGAGGGAACCTTTGTATCTCATCATGTTGAAGAACCCTTTAGCTCCAGGATTAATTAGTTTCAGAATTTTCAACTGAACCCCATAAAATGCACTAGAGAGAATTGGAGTATATGTGTCCTGTCTAGTACATTTCTAAAAAGCAGTATGTGCATGTTGAAGGTGACAGACTTTGTGTAGAGTAAGTTTTTTAATAAACCATGTTATGCTATTTTATTAATTGTGTGACATACAATAATTGTGGAATAGCATAAAATAAGGTGATTGATTTGAAGTGTTAGATTTATTAAAAGGGAAAAGAAGATGTAATGCAAAACTGACCGATTGGGAATTCCCCTCCATAAGTACCAAATAGTGTTGGCTCAAGTTTTCTAACGTTTTGTCCTTCTAACCTTTTGTTTTCCCAGCTCTCCTCCTCACTTTCCCATACATGCAAACAGTCTAACTCTACCATCAGCATTGCTTACCTTTAAATCACGATTAGGACTGTGTTTAAATTAAAACATTTTTAGAAACTAGTTTCAGGACTTCAAAAAAGACCCCTACTGTTTTCTCAGCTGCATTCTTGAATGAGATGAGAACAGCTACTCTAGTATTGAAGTAATAACTGGTGACACGAGGCCTAATGTATGTAATAGTATAACTTTTACTGTAATTGTATTGACTCAGCCCCTGCCCTCCAAGAGTTGATGCCAAGCTATTCTTTGTTTAGAAGCAGGGGTCTTTAGTTCACTAGTTTGAATGTAGGGCCAAGTTGGTAGTGAATGAAAGTTACCATCTGCGTGTTTGTTGGCCTATGTAAAATGCCATCTTCCTAGTGGACAGATGAGATCACATGACCCAAAACAGTATAATTAGTACTCATGTTGGCACTTTCAGCAGATGCTAAGGAGTGAATGAACCATGGAGACCAAACTTCCTTTTTAGCCCCAGAGATGATCCTTGCAAGTCAGGGTAGATGGAAGTTGTCAAGATGCAAGTGTGGGCAAAACATGCAGTAACACTGCCGATGGTGCAGCTGAAACTCTGACATTTCACCAGCAATAAAGTCAGTTCACCCAAAAAGACCCTGTTTCAAATATTTGTCTACTGACACAGTGAAAAGATATTGGCTTTGGAGTAAAAGCAGAAGGGAGGAGGAGAAGGAGAGTGCTTGCCAAACACTAACTGGGAGATTGTTCCAAGTGTAAGGGCGGCATGATAGAAGGAGCAAAGTCGGGAGCGGGAAAGGAAGACAGAGGAGGGAGCAGTAGTTTGTATCGCTCCTATTATTCATGGCTCTTAAATGGCTCTATAAACATGAATGAAGCTGCTGTTATACCAGTCTGAGATCTGGAGGAGGAATATGTGGCATTCAGGCCCATTGCCAGGTCAGACCACTAGAGACTCCCTACATTTTTTTTGTTTGTTTGTTTTGGAGGAATGAGAGGATGAATAAGTACAGCACAAACACTTCAGCACCCTGGCCAGCACCCAGTTGCTGTAATACCTATGGGCACCAGATGGGCTAATATGGGCAGCAGTCCTCCTGCCTGTTGGTAGGACAGGTGTGGATCCAGAATAGGATACCATTTTGTGAGGGCTGGAAGCTGATTCCTCAGAGATCTCGTTCTCTGTTGCTCCCTTAATTTGAAGTCCGGATTAGTATATCGCACAAGCGTAGTACAATAGTGAAATGGTATGGCATGACAACGCCAGTAATGTTGTTGCATTCATGTGTCCAACTACAAATAATAATTAAAGTACATATTTCTGAATCTAGGCTATTAATGGCCATTTTCCAGAAATGCTGTCATTAGGCTTCTTGTTAGAGAGATGCAATGTCGGACTGTGCTTATGAAAAAGAACAGACAAGGAATTCAGTGTCTCCTCTTCCTCACTTAAGGAAACGAGAGCACATGGAGGCGAGTCCAAAGGAACAAGATGCCTGGATCTCCCCCCACAGGAAGAACAGTCCCAATTTGGAGATTTACAATGTAATTAAAAAACAAATGGAGGCAGATCTGGCTGGGACCAGGCCAGATACTAAGAATTCTTCCTTCCGCACCCCTTCCGGAGACCACACGTCTGACAACTTCTCCGGAGATTACGACAACGTGGCTGTGAATACTACAGAGAGCGGTTTTGTGACGTTGGCTAGTACTGAAAGTGGCTTTGTGACCAATGAGATCTATGAGCTGTGCAGTGATCGGATGGGACAAAGCAAGGAGTCAGCCTGGGTGGAAAACGAAATCTATGGATATTAAGGAAACTGGAAACACTTGGATGTGGGTGACACAGCAAATAAAAACACGAGTAGTCCCCCACATATATTTAACAGTAACACAAAAATTATGTGTGTGGCAGTGCACAGTGGTTTCAGATCACCTCTGTGCTCATTCATTTTTTTTAAAGGCTATGTTATTTTAAACAGTTGAACACGACAGAATGTATTTAGCTTGCCTTGCTTCAAACCCCTGTTCAATACTGTCTTGGTCTTGGTTCTGTTGGAGCTACAATATTTCCTGAGCTCTGGACATGAAAATATTTCTACATCTTTGCAACTAAACATCAGTCCAAGTTCCAAATTCTTTCGTTTTGTTAATGGACCTCATCCACATGGACGTTTTTAAGTCGTACGCCAGCCATCCATGCTTTCTCCTAGCTGCACCGGAGAATGGTGACAGGTTGGTCATTTGTTTCCATCTCAAACCATGTTTTAGTTACATGGATTCCCTCACCAGCTAGTTTGTAGTGTTGCCAGTCAGGTGCTTCATTAGGGATTGGCAGTGTAGCCCATGGTCCTTTCCCTCCTTCCTAGTCCCGCTAGCCATGCAGGGTTTCTCAGAGACTTTAAATGATCTCATTTATTTATTTAATAATTTTTATTAAAAGAACCAAATAGACAAACGATTTCAAAAATCTCAGCAGATATGTTGATGTTGTATGACTGATCATTTTGCCTCACTTATTCTCCTGGCAAGAGAATGGCAAAGCAGTGACACGAGCAGCACCTTCTCAGTGTTGTGTAGGAGGGAAAGGGCCATTGCAAAGCATTTTTAAATAGCCTCAGAAGTTGCTGCAATCTGATGGGCTTCTATGTTGGTTTTGCTATCCAGAGTTATGCTAATATGCCTCAGTGGCAAGTTAAATACTGGTTACTTTATTATAGAGTAAATAGCTAGTTACTGACTGATGGATTGTAGATTTCCCCCCCCCCCCCCCTCTCATGCTCGTGAGCTGTACTGGATGCTATGAAGATTGATAAAATGGCTCCTCTGACTGCAGACTGATGACATATTGCTAATCTCAGCATGGATGGGATTAGTAAAAAAAGTGAGTGAATGTTACTGGATTAAAAATATCATTTTGAAGTGTCAAGTAACATATCACTACCATCAGTTACAATAAAAGCTCTGTTGACTCATTGCCCCAGGGACGTCAGCTACCCCAAAACCCGGTTAGAAGTAATGTCAAGATAAGGTAGTGCATAGATCATGGATTTGCCTCTCAGTTGAGAGGGAATGATGCTGGTCTACTTCTTTAAAACTTTGTTTTTGAGACGCTCTTCATGAAACCACATTGGATGCTGCTTGTTTCCCTGCATTTTTTGAAGGGGGTTGGATGAATTGTAGCTTCTGTACCTTAATTTGGTGCCTTAAGATTTCCCAGCCTTTTTCCGCACTGTGACTTTTAATACTTCCTCTCATCGCACCTTAGTTAATGGATTTCTGAATTCCTCCAAATCTGCTTTGTACTGGTTGTATTCCCTTTCCTTTCCCTTCCCTTTCTATACTGATTATTAGTACGACGTTTCCCTACTCTCACATCTTCAATCATACGCTGAACTCATGTTGAAGTTGTTCCACCAACATCTCTCTTCCGGTTAGAATATCTACTGATTCTGAATTTGTCCTGTGCCTCCTACCTAGACACAGGGCCGACCCCAGGGTTTTTGCCGCCCCAAGCGGCGGGAAAAAAAAGAAGTCGCGATCGGCGGCAGCTCAGCCGCTCTGCTTTCTTCTTCGGCGGCAATTTGGCGGCAGGTCCTTCGCTCCGACAGGGACCGAGGGACCTGCCGCCGAAGAGCCGGACGTGCCGCCACTTCCCCTTGGCTGCCGCAAGCAGTTGCTTGCTAAGCTGGTGCCTGGAGCCGGCCCTGCCTAGACATAATGAAGGATCAGTCGTCACAATTTTATGATCTTTGACTTTAATTTAGAGTGTAACCTTAACATTTAATATCCACAAGTAGCCATTTGGTCCAATAGAATTTCATGTGGTCAAGAAAAGAGAGCTGCAGCCGTGACATGGTCACTTTCATTTTAAAGTTATCTGTATGTGTGGCATCTATTATTTTATTAGATGCTCTCATGCCTTGTGACACTGAGACAATCCAGTCTTTCCACCTCCATCTGTCTAATGGCATGTTTCTTGCTCCATTATAGTCTGGCTCCATGACAGTGGCATCTTTCTGCATGATTTTCTTATGTCATTTGTTGTCCATCTCTTTTCTGTCTTCCACCAAGTGGTATCCAATCAAGGGCTTGTCTAGGAATACATTTTTTTGACATCCATACATGTCCAAACCACTTCAGCCTTCTTTCTCAAATCATTGTCTCTACAGTCTGCTGGTCAGTCCTTTGTAACACATCCGTGTTGGTTAGTTTATCCCCCTAGTGGATTCCAAAAATTCTTCGCGGGCATTTCTGACGCTATGCATTAAGTTTTCTGTTATGAGTTTCTAGCATCTGCCAAGTTTTAGAAGCATATAACAATGTGGGTATCACAATGGCATTGCATAGCTTTCTCTTGGTTCTTGTGGGAATCTCCTTTTTCCCCCTAGATGTTTGCCAGCCTCGAAAAGCTTCATTTGCGTTTCTAGTTCTTGCTTCCAACTCCTTATGGAATAGACCATCAGTACTAGTTGTGCTTCCAAGATGTAAAGACTCCTTAATGATGCCATATTCTTCACTATCAATCACTTATGCATCATCATTGCTGACTTCTCTTTCAGTGGTAATGACTTCCGTTTTCTTTTGGCTGATTCTTAATTCTGCTTTGGCAGCCTCACGTTTGACATTGGTAGTAGTCTTTTTCATAGCCTCTTCATTTGTGTCCAGCAGAACAATGTCATATGGAAAGTTGAGATGTTGCAAATTTTCCTCTATTCCATATAATTCCTATATTATGTCTTCCTTTTTTGCTTTTCATATTGCGTAATCTATCAAATGCAGAAGAGGACAGGTGATAAGATGTATCTCTGTCGCACCCCAGTGGTGGTATCAAACCATTTCGTCTCTTCACCTCCTGTCCTTCCTGAACCTTCATATACAGCATCTTAGCCAGTCATACTATCTAGGAGGCTCATATTGTCACAAGATCTTCCATAGTGACTCTTAATGCAGTGAAAGCTTTGGTGAAATTGATTAAGTTTAAGACTAATCTTCTCGGGTAAGCAAGCCCTTTCTTAATCATTCATCTCAAAGTAAAGATGAGGTCTAAAGCCTTTGTGGTCTTTTTGGTCTAAAGCCTGCCTGCTTGGCATGCAGTTTTTCATCTGTGACCAGTTTGATTCCATTCAGTAGTACACTAGACAACACTCTTCTGTGTACTTAAAGCAGTGTTATTCCTCACCAGTTGTTGGTTTCCTGCTTTGGTAATTTACAGATCACATCTTTCTTCCACTTCTCTGGGCAGAATTCCTTCTCCTAAATTATTTTTAAAAGTTTATGTATTTCATGTAGTACCACTTCCTCCCCACTTGAAGCATGTCAGCCGTGATCTTATCTTGACCAGGAGTTTTGCCATTTTTAAGCTGCTTAATTGCTTCCTCTATTTCTGCTTCTGAAATTTCTAGCTCTGAAGCAAGCCCTTTGTTCCTCTTTATCATCATTCATTACTCACCATTGTTGGAATCTGTTGGAGAGCTGGATTTTAAAGTCTCTCCTGATTCCCAGATCAGACAGTTTCTTCACATCAAATTCCATTTCTTTTCTTATTAGCATGTCTTTTTAGCTTTATTCTGTTCCGGTGACAAGATAGTAGTTGCTTCCTATATCAGCGCTTGTTTTGTGTATCCAGCAGCAGTGTGTTTCAGTTGCTTCTCAGTAATTCAATCATTTGACTTCCATGTTAGTTTGTGTTTTCCTGTGATGAGGGAAAAGTGAACCCCAGGTGCACAGGTTATACATATTACACAGCTAAGTAAATCTTTCATCGTTGTCCATCTGCCCCTCAGTGACATATTTGCACATGCAATGCTTGTATCCCAAGTTGTCATTACCCACTTGGGCATTGGTATCATCCATAACCAGAATGACAACATAAGCATGGACCTAGTTGAGTACCTTTTGCAACTTAGTGTAAAATGCATCTTTTCCATATTCATTGGTAGGTGATCAATGATAGTTCCTCCCATCAGAGATTGAAGACTGGATTCTCATTTACGCTGAAGCCCACTTACACAACCATGGCTGTATAAAGGAGCCTTAAAGTGGACATAAATTACAGTTATGCTCATTTTAATGCTCCGTTACTTGGCTGTATTGTAACTGAGAATCTGATCCAAGACCTCTTTCTAATTATGCTAATGTTGCATGTTGGTATATAACTAAATATGAACTCAGGTGAAACCAGAATTAGCCAGTCTGATACTGAAAGCTGGGAGCATGTGAGTGAGGTGAAACAATGCCTATTACTTATGGGAACAAATTCACTGTTTGTTTGAATCCTGGGTTGGTGGGAGAGGTGTTTCCACACTCAGTTTCTTATCCTTATCGCTGTCTGTTTCTCTTTATTTGTAGCACATGTAATAGAGTTTCTAAGCAGCTAGGAGAAGTGCAGAGTACACCCAAGCCATGAAGATGGTGTGAGGGAACCTGCCAAACATCTACGCAAGTGACCCTCCGCTGGAGTTTGTATCTAAATCCCCAATAACCCACAAGTATTTAGATTGGAGCAACAGTGTGATTGTAAGGGATGTGCCGGCAGCTCTGTGGTTGAATTAAGTTCCTGCTTTATCGACTAGTGAATGCATTAAGATTACAATTAATTTTTTGAGCTGTTGATACATAAGTATGAGGCTTTTGTTGCCATGTGAAGTCTAGGACATGGGCTGTGAGATGAACTGAATCTATCTTAGTTAACAACTGGTATGTTTTTAAAGCCTTTTGAAGCACAATACAAGATTTAAGCCAGCCCTCTGATCAAAGAATCAGGATTATATATTGGAAATGAAGGTGAGCATTGGTCTGGGCATCTTTCTTGCCCCTTCTCTCCAGCATTTTATCCCATTTAGTCTCTTTTCTACCTGAGAGGATAATGTCAGATATCGCAGACAATGTGGAAAGGAGACTGAAATAAGTGTGTGACTGGCAATTTCTTTATACTGTACTTGTCTGGCTCCTGATTGCATGGAGAGGTGCCCAGAGTTGCCTTGAGCCACCTGAAATGAGTTTGAACACCACAAATCTTTCCTAGAAAAGACCAAAACCAAGATGGACAACGTGCAAACTCTGTGGATCTGCCAATGGGCGTGTATTCTTTGAGAACTGGATGCCTGTGACTTTGTACTTTAATACTGCCAAAGAGCCCCTTGTCACGCATCGAAAAGGCATTTGAGGGATTGTGATGAGGAAGCTATGAATCAAAAAGTGACCAAGAAAGTACTCTCATTTCCTATGTATCCGACAACTGACACAGTTAAATCTGACTTACTCCATAATGGCAACAAGCTAGTTTCAGTCCTGATGCAAGTTCCGCTACACAAGCGTGAGCTGTGTGGCTCGAAGCTTGTGTCACTCACCAACAGATGTTGTCCCAATAAAAGATATTACCTCACCCACCTTTGGTAAGCCAAGAGAGAGGCATTTCCCAAACACAAGCTAATTTATCCCAACGAAGCTTTACCATGCTAAACCATCCAATACAGCAAGCCTAGCTGTATCTGTTCTGGGATGCTGACAAACTCTTGAGCAAGATGTGGCGGGGAGGAGTGGAATCAGAATCTGAACTCAGGAGAGAGCAGCACTGATGACTTGGGGTTTACTATTAACTTGATGATCAATAGAGCTTTCTAATGCCTGTGTTTTGCTTGTTTGTATGCAGTCCTTTGAATGTTTGAATTATGGTAATCACGGCTTTGTGTGCTCTACGGGAAGCTTGATATAAATCATGTGGCAAGGTTCCTGCACTGTCCAGTACAGCAGACTGGAGCTCCGGTGTGCGCTTCAGAGAAGTGTAAAAATGGAGATTCATATTTAACTAGGTACAAAAATGAATACACTCATGGCAGGTTTCCCTTAGCTTTTGAATATTAAATGCCATTTGTTTTATGCTGGCCATACATTTCATGCTCTGTATGATGCAGAACGTGTGGTGGGGGTTTTGGTTTTGGTTTTAAATGCCTAGCTAATCTTTTTGAGCTGGCAGGGGGAAGCTGGAGGTTATTGCGGCTGCATAGGCATTTAGGAAGCTTGGGTTTGTGAGATAAGCACACTAACTGGATGCAAAAATGAGGATCATCTGTGAAATATATGAATGTTGACACTGAAATTTGCATCATTAACATATAAGGTAACACCCCATTGAAATGAATTGAGGGACAGTTCGCTCCTAAGCTTTTGCTTCAGGCTGTCTGCAAACTCAGGCAGATAACCTTGCATTGATTTGCATTTGGTTCACATTTGGAAAGTTTTGGACACCACCCTAAGAGCGTGAGACATTCTTTTTGAAGTATACGCTTGGGTTGTGGCTCACAATTTTGCAGCAAGGGGTGGATTTTGAGGTAAATTCTGTGGCTGTGGAAGGAGGAAGTGTGGTCTTGACAAACAGCAATGTGTCTTCTAGAACCTGTTTATAGAATTCTTGTACCCGTTTCGTCCTGCCAGTAACACTTCTGCTGTGAATATGTTCATTGGGTTGGATTCTGAAATGGATAGCAGCCTGCTGGGAACTATTATGTCCATTCTTGTCCAAGTTTATCCAGAGAGCTGGCTGCACCAGTCTGGGATTAGACAGTTGTGATCTATCTGTTCCTGCATGCTCTGATGTCCCGTCATGGAAGGTTAACATGCTTGTTTTTATGTTCTCATGTTGAATGTGTCCAGTTCCTGAGAGATCCCACAGCATTTTGTATTGTCTGCACTTACACTAATTCCGGTCTGATTCTGGAGTTGCTCTCAAACGGGGCTTGTTTCCTAAAACTGGGATTTTGCCTGAACATATCTCACTGGTCTGAAAATGAACTGAGAGTGTTGAATAGCAGAGTGCAGGATACTTGGTGTCTATTTTAAAGGAGAGGAAGGATGGTCCAGTGTTTAGGACACTATCCTGAGACTTGGGACACCTGGGTTCAGTTCTGTACTCTGCCACAGTCTGACCTTGGGCATGTTACTCAGCTTCTCTTTCGCTTCATTCTCCATCTGTATAATTGGGATAATAGCACTGCCCTACCTCACAGGGGTGTTGTGAGGATAAATACATTAAAGATTATGAGATGCTCAGAAACTATGGTAATGGGGGCCAGATAATTACTTAATATTTTAATTCTCGTGTCCACACAGACCTTTAGAACATCTTGGAAGCTTATTGAAGATAAGCTGTTACATAAGGATTTGGAAGAGTATTTGAGTCAATATGTGGTTTGGTTGAGCAATTTTGGTGCCCGACACTGAGTACAGCCAGTGATGCTGCTTATTTATTTGGCTCTTGTTCGTCCTTTTCAAAATTGAATTTAAAAAAATGGTAAATTCCATTAAAGCCAAGGCCTGCCATTCTATACTGGTGGTAATAATACCACCTAGCTCTCAGACAGCACTTTCCATCCATAGATTTCAGTGTAAAGTCTGCATCATTGTCCTGCTCTCTGCCACAGGAGCTTTGCTTAATCAAGTTCCTGACTTCTAAACACAGAAGAATCTGGACTATAGAGCAGGCAGGAAGTACCACTTACAATAATCCACAAAGTGATGGCCAGTGGATGTAGTTAGGTTCTAGTCTAAAATAGAGCTCCAGCCTGCCCTTTTCAGTGTCTCTTAGGTGAAAGCTATTTAATAGTCTGCACTTGCCAAGGGTTTCCCTGCAACTGTTGTTGATTTCTCAGAGGAGCATTCCTAATTAAGAGTCTGCACCAGTGTCCCAGGGAGAGGCTTCCATTGGTCTGGTGAGATTCAGTAATAAAAAAAAAAAAATCCCATTTTTTGTATGTGTACACCATGCTCTGCAGTAGATGCAATGTGACAATCAAATGCCAGTTTCCTGGCTTGGAAGAGCTTTATCTAAAGGCATATTGGCTATAATACAGAACTGTACAAAACAAGTAGGATGGAGCAGCACAGAGGCCATTGTGTGATCACTAAAGCCAAAACACAGAATAATTTCACATAATTGGGAAAACCACACCTGCTTTAAACTCTGCTTCCACTAAGAAGCCTCTAAGGAGCTTCTAGCCTTCAGGTCAACGATCCATCTGTTTTCTCTCTGATTAGAAATCGGGCAGGGGAGGGAGAGTGACACCGTGAGTGAAACAAGTCAGGAAGAGAGGTAGATGCGGACATATACTGCTCCACGGGTGAGTCTCTCTGGCCATAAGAGGAAATCTAAATAACTCATGCGCTACGTTCTGCAGCCAAACAAGACTGGCTCTGAAGCATCTGAAATGTCAGTAGCTACTGACAGAGAGTTCATGCAACATTTATTTTTTCTGTTGCACTTAAAAAAAAAAAAAAAAAAAAATCATGATATTGAAGCAAAACCAGTTCGCAGAAGCCACCAGGAAGCAAAAATGCGTCAAAGGCTTTGGCAGAAGGTGTTTATATGGGAGTGAAACAACAACAGAAGTGAGTGCAGGACGTTGCTGTGAGTTGAATCTGCCAATATAAACATTCAGGGAGCCAGCTCTGGAGCTGTATGCCACCCATCATATTCATTGCAAACATTAAAATATTTGTAAGTTGCTATAGCTGTTTCTGTCTGTTCATAAGTATTACAGGTTGGGTTGATAGAGACATAGGGCCTGTCTTGGATACCTGGCAGTCTGGGAGAGTGCCTACCAACCAGGATTTGGTGGCCTGCCATTGACTTTAGTGGTCAAGTTCAAGCCTCTGAGAGCAGTCCTTGCCAGAAAATGGCCACTGCCTACCAAGGAAATGATAACCTGCCAGCTGGTTACCAGTGGGGATAATGCTAGGCAATAGCTGCTGATTGGCACTAGGAAAGGGGTATCCACTGACTGGTGCTGGCTAACTTCCTGGGATTCATTACGTTAATTAGTGCATTTTAGTAAGCAGCTGTGTATGTGTATTCATTTTTATCCTTCAAATCTGGTTCTAGTCTGTTTTTAGGCAGGCTATAAGCATCTTTGAGTCCTTGGAAAATCAAGAAACGAGAGCAAAAAGCTCAAGCAAAATATTCAAACTTAGGTGTGTAACCTCTTACATCCATATTTTGGTAACTAAATGAGTGCCCTTATTGTTAGAGGTGCTGACCACCGCAGCTCTCGTTGAAGTCGGTGAAAGCCTGCCACGCGTGTTCGAGCACCTCTGAAGGTCAGGCCAGGTATTTAGGTGCTGAAATATGGTTGTAAATGGTTAATTTTAGTAAACTAATTTGGAAAAGTTTTGCCTATTAAAGCTCCCAAGGTTCACTTCTTTATCTGTAATGGGACTGAATAATACTTGATCTGTGTTCTTTCCTCGTTCTGAAATCAAAATGTTGAATATGGCGATGACAGTTACTGACAAGAACAAGTCTCCTTGAATTTGTCAACCCCTATCTAGCACTTGATCTGTGGAGGTCTTTCATGCCATTGTTGCGAGAACAAGTTAAATGTTTAAGTGCTGAAATACCCAGTGTTCCCTATTCTATTAAGTTTGAGACTGCTTCCCTATTCCTTTAAGTTTGAGACTGCTTTGAAACTGGAAAGGTGCTTGTATCAGAGATAAACCTCATCAAGGAAACTTTTTAACAGATGTGATATACATGCACTCATCTCATAGCTGCTTCGTGTAGGACAGAGGCAAAAGCTTATTATTAAAAAAATATGCTTTCTTGCAGTCAGGAGAGTTTGAGATCACCTTTGGGCCTTTGGAAAAGAGCAGGCACCAATGAACCTGAAAATGAAACCAGAAAAACCTTCTCACCTTCACACGTATGATTAATGAAAGTATACAAATGTTGTGTAAATAAAATCTGCTCCAAACCATTTCACATGCACAGAATAGCTAAGTTAAGAACTATTGGATTATAGAAGCTAGATGGGAATCATCCAGTCCCTCTCCTAGAAGCCAATGCAAGATTGTTTCATACAGCACATTTTCTAAAGCTTTATTTCAGTCTTGTTTTAAGCATCATGAAATTGCACTTCCATTGCTTTTGGGAGGAGACTGTTCCATAGCCTAATACATTGCTCTGATTAGGCTGAATATTGGGGGGGGGGAGGAATCTTTTACTTTCATCCCATCACTCCTACACATACACTGCTGTGCCACACTAAAAATGCCTCCCCATTGTTATTTCTATCCTTTAATTGTAGGGCTATGTCCTTCCCCTTAGTCAAGTTATACATATTTAGTTCTTTCTTTTTTTGAAGACATGCTCTCTGGTAATGCGGTGCCTACAAGAGTATACAATGATGCCAGGATTCAGACATGGTTGCGTCAGGGCCTGGTGTGGAGGATGATTAGTTTCCTGTCCTGTGACAGGGTCTTTCCCTGTAAACAGCCCAAAACTGCATTGGTCTTTTTTTGTAATCATGTTTAATTGCAAAAATACGTCTATTTTGTTCTTCGCCGTCACCATTTTCAGTTGAGTGAAAGTGTGATTCAGTTAAGAAAAGGGTGTGTCATCTCAACTGTCAAAACATCAGACATGTGGGCACCTCTAACCCAGTTGTCCAGTTCTGTTCCTCTTTGGCTTGAGGTAGAGGCAGGAGCCCAGGTACTTTTCTTATAGTTTGGAGAGGGCACATAAGTTGCCTTCTTGCTAGGAATAATGCCCCACACAGAACTTTCTCCCTCAAGTGTATACCTATCAATATTACTTCCTAACAATTTAGAAATACAGTTTCAATGCTTTTTATCCCAATTCTCCAGCAAGTTTGGCTATAGATAATTTAGCACTTAACCATCCATATATCCTCACTGCCTGGGCACTGTGCCTTGTCCTCAACTTGCAGATTGGGAAGATGGACAGGGGTTATATAACTTGCCCAAGGCTATACAACTCATTGGGTGAACTAAGATTAGAACAAAGGAACTGCAGGTCCATGTCTAATCTTCCACTTTAAATATTAACAATATTTCAGCTTGCTGTTATTTCACCACTGTTACTCAATGTACCATAAGCTATTGCAACTTTTGGCAGATTTGAGACCACAAATAACTTGGTTTCTTCAGGCTGTGAGGGCGGACCTTAGAATTCCCAAATGGTTCTGCATTGCTTCTGCTGGAGGAAGTCAGCAACAAAAACTGGTGGCAATGAACTAACTTTTCTCTCTAGAGCACTGCTGTGACTATATAGTGCACTACTGTACTCACCAGAGCTTTCCCGGAAACACTCGCATCTGACCTAGTAAGTGAATGCTCTAGTATGATGATCAGTTAGGGGAGCCTAGCCCCGACTGCCCATCAGTCCTTGAAACATCCATAATCTGATTTCTAGGAGAGGAGTTCAGTAATGAAGGTGAAGATTTTGTTGGAGCACCAGTGTCAAGACCTGAAATATGGGGATAGAACAGTTCTAATGTTACCCTGCTAAGACCACAGCAATGGAGCTTTCACCTTTTACAGGATGCAGTCTGTAACGGTCCCTAAGACATTCTTGTTCTGCCCTGCCTCAGATAGGGATTCAACCTCCTCTGCAAAGCACAGGAGAGGTGCCTGTCTTCTGACTTTATCTTCACAGGTAGGTGCTTTTAGTTTCTTCATTGTCTTCCTTGAATCTGTTAATAGCTATTAAATGAGAGTGTGGGATTAGTGGACTACTGAGCCTACCAAGTGCATTATCTCTTTGGACAGACTTCTCCTGCACCTAATTTTATCTTTTTGCACAGACAACTGTCAGATCTCTTTTGACACTTTAAATTTAATAGATCGCCCTCGGTGTTATAATTAGTATCCTACCAAATTCATGGCCATGAAAAACACATCACGGACCGTGAAATCTGGCCTTCCCCTGTGCAATCTCGTCTTTTGTATGCTTTTACCCTATACTATACAGATATCCCAGGGAGACCAGTGTTTCTCAAATTGGGGGTCCTGACCCAAAAGGGAGTTGCAGAGGGGTTACAAGGTTATTTTAGGGAGGTCGCAGTATTGCAACCTTTACTTCTGGACTGACTTCAGAGCTGGGCAGCCAGAGAGTGGTGGCTGTTGGCTGGGTGACCAGCAGCAGCGCAGAAGTAAGGGTAGCAATATCACAATCGCCTCTACAATAACCTTGTGACCCCCCCCATAAGTCCTTTTTGGGTCAGAGCCCTACAATTATAACACCATGACAT